GGAGTCCTTTTCTTTATTTTCTTTTTTCATTTTACTACAGCCTCGCTGAATACCAAATATTGTCGCCTTTCTTCGTGTCGTCAAAGAGTACTTTTCCCACTACCCTAGTACATTGTTAATGTCTGCCTTGTTTCAGTATCAAAGGGGAACCCTCAATCATTATCAAAGAGGAACTCACTTAGCTAAGCAATCACCTTTTAATCTTAAAGTGATGTGCTAGTGGATGTTGGCATCTGCTCCAAAAGCGTCAGTAGGTGCTCCAAACCAACACTTTGCTTGCTACAGAACCTGCTACAAAAGCTCAGAGATGCCGCCTCCATCACTGAAACGAGCTGACGCCATCTGGCGGAGGAGGATGCGCAATATGTATCGAGCGTATCGTTTCAGACTAAATTTAAAACAATCTGCCGTATACATTTTTTTTATATATTTTTAAATATGAAAAATTATTGTGGAGAAGTGGGGCGACATTGCTTCAAAAGTTCCACTTTGTCGAGTGTCACTTCTTTTCAGGTGGAGGTCAATGTATTCTTACGTAAATGTTTTCTCTTTTTCTTAAATTTCTCTCGAACTTCGTCGAAGTTTGCTAAATGGTTCGAAGATTTCGAGAAAAAGAAATGTTTGCGGCATCCAACCGCGTTTCCCCGAGCCATCCTCATTACTGGCGCGGCATGGCCACTGGGGGAGAGGCTCCATATGTGGGGAGAGAGAGGGAGGCTCCCCATGGGGAGAGAGGGAGGCTCCCTATGGGGAGAGACGCGGAAGAGTGCGTGCGGTCGGCGTTTGGGGATCTCGGTGTCGATGAAGCGTGACTGCCCCTGCATCCAAACGAGCCTGTTTTTCCCCGTGCCCTCCACGGATACCCGGAAGTGGCCGGCTTTAGTGTCGTTACTGTCGTGCGGGCTTTCTTTTTTTTTTCCCCTTTTTTTTGGCCCGGTTTGTTATGGCACTACTGAAGGGCTGACATTAAAAATATACTAGAGCAGTGGAGAACAGTGCTCGTTGGGGACACGAAGATAAGCGACAATATTTGGTATTCAGCAAGACTGCAGTAAAATGAAAAAAAAAATGAAAACAAAGAAAAGGATTCCGCAAATGTTTGTGGGGGGAGGGGGGCGGTCTCGGCTTCCCCCCTCTCCCGCTCTTTCTTTTTCTTTTGTTTGGAGGGTGGTCTGAGATCCCCAGACCATAGAGCTAGCGTTGCCGAAACCACAGTTATAACTTGCACTGAGTCATCATCGGATTTTTCTCCATTGAAGTTTGGTTGAGTAGGCGTGTTAAAAAAGGTTGCGAAAAAAAAGTTGTAAGTTGCCGTGTCAATCTCACGTTGAACAAAATGGCGGATGCTTCAATTCTCTTCTTAGGTGGGCTATTTTTAACGACCAAAACAATCGTGAGGCTTGCTTGTGTTCCGTTGTTAAACAATTCTGTTTTGTAAAAAAAGAAAAAATCATGCCGGGTGACTCTTACGCACAATGGTCGGTGACAGGTTAGACATGCAGCAGATGCTCCGCCTCCAGTGCGAGCTTCCTGCCCTTGACGCACGCCGACAAGCCCGGCCTATAAAACGAGGAACGCGTGCTGAAGGCGGAGCTTCTACCGAGTTCTGAAACCATCACTTTTGCGCGCATCTGTCTAACACGACCGCCTCCACACGTCACACCTTTCCCATACAAGAGTGTGTAGAGAGAGACTCCCCGCAATTTATGGGAGACTAGGAGCACTGCATGTGCCTACACTCATATATGTTTGTGTGCTTGCACTTCCGCGTGAGTGGAGAGCGCGCGCGGCTGCGTCTTCCTTGCACGTGCGCGTGTTTGTGTTTGGGCAGGTACAAGCGCGCGTGCACGAGCGTTTGTCGGATTCGATTCGCGTTGTAATGCGCCGAGAAACCGACGGGGAGGAGACAAGAGCGCGCGCGGTGACGTCGGTCCACCGAGCTCCGGTTGGAATAATTAGTGGGTAGAACCTCGAGCTCGTTGCCTTTGTATACAGTGCACTCATCGAACGGGTTAAAACGCGGAAGGCCGGCGTCCGGCGTCCCGTCGCCCCGGATTTGCGCCACGGGAAGCTGGAAGCCGACGCCCTTCTAAATCACGTGCGGGCCTCTTTTTACGCGGCGGCTTCTCTGCAGCTCGTGGGTGCGCGTCGGAGAAGCACTCCTACGAGGCAGGGCAGGCGTGCCAAGGTGAGCGCGGTCGCGCGCGCGGTTGGCCACACAGAACACGACACGCGCCGAATTTTGACCCACACGATTTCGCGCGCGGATTAGCGGTAAGGCGGATCCTGGGGAAGTGGAGGGAGAGGGGGGGGGGGGTACTTTGCGTGCGAAATTCTGTCCGGCAAAAGTCGGAGGCAGTCGTGTTCTGTGTGGAGACAGCGCTTTAACCCCTCGCCTACTCTTTTTTTTTTTTTCCCCCTTCGAGGGATGTACATTAAATTTTTATTTTAAATGGGCAATTTGCATTGAAATAAGAAAAAAACATTTGCTCGATTTCCAGGTGTCACACCTTGATCTAAATTGGGAGTTCTGGCCCAAGTCCCACTGACATGCAAGCGCCGAAGTTGATGGGATGCTTGCAGGATTCACGTCGCTTTTGTCGCTCCTGTCACTGCCCATCAAACTATCGTCCGATTCCTAAAAATTGGGAAGGCCGAACGATTCGTCGTCGCACATGCCCTAGCAAAATCCCTTAAAAAAAAAAAGAAAAAAAAAAAGAAAAAGGTTTCGTATATCTTTGTCTGCTAAAACGAACCTCCATGCCAAAGCCACATTCTTTTAGCGTGAATGTTCACGAGCGACTGCTTTTTTTTTCTTTTTTTCTTTTCTTGGCTAAATGGAGCGTTGTCTTTCTGTCAAACACCAAATAAACGAGCAACGAACCCAAGGTAAATGGAGCAACAGGGGTGGTTTTGCCATCTGCCAGGGAGCGCACTAAACAAGCGCCAAAACTGAAATGCAAGTCACACTCGTGGTTGGGCTTCATGGTCTGTAAGGGGTGGCACGAGTGACATTCGTCATTAGTAGGCAAGGAGTTCAAGGGACCTTGAAAGGATTTTTTGCTAGTGCTCAGGATCTAATTTTACGTACATAACATCATAAACAGGTGTTATCTTTTCGTTGACTCGCGCTACTGTTGAAGGAATTGAAAAAAAAAAAAAACACAGATGAAATTTAAACAGAAAAGGGAGGAGGCATATTTGTACACATTACACATCCTTGTGCTTTTGGCTTTCATTTTTTTAATGCAATTTCTATTTGCTATTTATATATATATTTTTTTTTTACACATCGACAATCAGTTCCACGGGATGTGTGACCTTTAACAAACTACCTGCAAATATAAGATTATCCTAGGGATAATCTGCTTAGTCTGATTAGCTACAGTTGGGACAGATGACATGTCACGATAGAGTTACAAATGTTGAGGAGTAAAATATAGAAAAAAAAAAGGAAGTTGCAGCCCCTACTGCTGCAGAGACACGTGATCTCGCTAAGTACTACGAGATTACCTGTTCCAACCGGCACTTCTAAATGTGTTTGGGCTTCATAAATAAATTACCTTATTTTCCGGTGTATAAGCCTGCATTTAATTTTTTCTACAAAGTTTCCGTCTCTGAATTCTATATAACAGTGTGACTTTACACATTGTTTTCTTTAAATGTGGACTTTAACTGCAGATATTTCCCCCGGGGGGGGGGAGAGGGGAAGGGGAGGGGAGGGGAGGGGAGGGGAGGGGAGGGGGGGGAGGGGGGTTACATTTCTTGTTCGATTCGTTGACGAGAATATTGACACTTGCTCTTTCTTGTGATCATAATATTGATGTACGGGCTTCTCACTGCACTTTCGCCGCGTTGACTGTATAGACATGTAGGTGGGACTGATTGAAAGGTGTAACCTTTAACTAACTCTTTGTGTGAAAACAACTGTTTATAGGGGGGTTCGACTTCTCTATACAGGGTCTGGCCGTAACGACTAACACATTTGGCACGCCTTGTAAAGTTGAAATTCTAAACATAAAGACCTGAAATATGGCATGTAAACATAGTTTCAGAACATGATTTATGTATATTTCTTTTCAGAGCTCAATTCAGAGGTGGTAAAACAATAAAATAAAGGAAAAATGGTGGCCGTACATTTCCTTAGGCCAATGCTGAATGCCTGTCGTCTGCACTGTGGTTTGTGAGCTTGTTCCCAGGTCGTCATTGCTCATATATTTCGATAAAAGTATTAATTATTGCGATTATCTTGCTCATTGCCAGCCTCTACAATGAATTCTTAGCGTTTTGGCATTTAGCGAGCCACCTGGGAGCTAGCTCATAAACCAGTGTGCAGACGACAGACAGGCTGGTGTAGGACAGGAAATACACGGCATCCGATTTTGTTTCATTTTGAATATCTCGCTACCTCTGAGCTGAGGCACTAAAAGAAAAGAAACATAAAACTTCTTTCAAAATTATGTTAGCGTGCCCAATTACATGTATGTACGTTTGGAATTTGAATTTCGCAAGGCATGCCGAATGTGCTGGCCCTTACAACGTCACCCTGGGTACTAACTTCTTGTATGAAAACAGTCAGTTATATGGGGGTGCGACCTATAGACGGGAAAACATAGTGTAAAGTACCGGGGGAGTGCCCCCCCCCAACTTTCACAGAAAACTGGATTAATCTAGGCATGGGCACTTGTCCTGTCAAGTTGGGTGATTAACATATAATTGGCAGAATTTCCATGTTTGGAACACGTTAATCTTGAGCACTGAATAAAGTGGGTGCTTCCATGGTATTTTACGGTAGTATAATCCTGCTGGCTATTCTAAGCATGTCCTAACTAAACAATTATGTTTGTCCTGGATATACTACCTAGAAGAAAAAGCAACAGCCAACGACGACATCTTGCGGAGGCCATGTCTTCTAGTTAGTAGTCGCCCCGGATACATGCTCCAGACACCGTACCGGAGCTGCCGGCTGTTTCTAACGTTGCAGCGCCAACTCTCCGCAGGCGTGCCAACTTCCTCGCTGGCGTGGACAGCCTGGAACAGCTGGTGCAGCGGGCGCGGGAGGAGGGCGGGGCCAAGGACCATTGGCCCGCCCAGGTGGTCCACGCTCTCGGACTCTTGCCCAGGGATCCGCAGGCGGTCCGGGCGACGGCCGAAAAGCTCTGGCAGCGTCTGCTTCGGGAGCGCGAGGAGCCATGGGGAACCGGTGCGTTCCCTTTTGCCTCCATTGGGAGCCCTCTCCGTCTATTTCGCTCCTTCTCGAGCATATTCAAGCCGCAAGACGACGAGATCTCGAAACTACCGTAATATCTCGAGAGATGACCCACTTAAACATGAAAACAAATTGGGTGAAAATAAGGAATGGGCTAACTTTCGGTGTGCGATCGCAACAAGTTGGAAAAACTCTAGTTGTAGATCTTGCGACCTACGAACCTTGTGATCGCAGGGAAGGGTAATGAGCCAAAGACGACTGTCATTCCCAGTCAGTGATGTTCGCTTATCGCCCGACGTGGCTAAGTAACACCATTTTTGCCGAGGTCACCATTGGGCAAGGCCTTGAAACTACTAGAAGTGGGCTGTTTTTTGCTGTTTTTGGCAAAATAGCAAATGACGCCAAAGATGGAAGGCAGGTTATCTTTCTGGGGTGGGGCATCTCTCGGGATGTTAAGGTCGACGCAAAAAGAATGGCAGAAGTGCCACCCAGGAGTGATGTCGGCCTCCGGGGTAAATGCGGGTGGCGAGTCGCCGCGAGCTGACGAGGTGGCCGTAGATAAGGCGCGCACTACTCTGCTCTTTCCTGGGGCACTTGGCTTTAGGCGCGTTTTCTCTGTTCGTTTCGGCGTGGTACAGAATCTAGTTGTCTGCTTGTTCACAGACCAACCTTGCACTGCCTAAACAACAATGCCAAATGTTGTTTTTTTGTATGAAAGTTTATATTGTTACATATGTGTCTCATCCAGACACATAAAAAAACATTTTTTTAGTTCAGCGTCTCTCTAGGGCACGAATTTGCCGTCTCCGGTCCCAGCGTGCGACGAACAAGAGTCTTGGCTTGTGCATGCAGGGGGCATGGTGTGCGTGTGTGCGCTGGCGTCGCTGCTGGTGGGCGTGGCCTCCATGATGCCGGCCCCCTCGGGCATCTTGTGTGAGCAGTCGGCCAAGCTCGGCTTCCTCGGCTACCTCACCGGCAAGTACCTCTCCCCGGCCAGCTGCAAGGTCGACTTCGACTGGCAGGAGCCCCAGGAGGTGGGCTCCACCGTCACCTTCACCGTCAAGGTGGGTGCCCTCTCCTTCCTCTGTCTGCTGTCCTGCCCGGTGAACTTGTATGGGAAAGTGCCAGTTAAAGGCCGACGTACACTTCGCGCTTTCCCCTTTAGCCCGCCCCCTCCTTCCCGATATCCTCTCCACTTTTTACTTTGCCCCAACCTGGTTCCCCTTGCAGATTAGGAGAGGGGAGCGCTAACAGGATTATCTTCCCTGCAGAAAACCGAGGTTGGTACGTCGGCTTTTAAGCAGGATGAAAAAAAAAAAGGCTTACCTTGATAGTGTTTCGCTGGGGCGTGCCAGATGCCCGTCGTTGATTTGGCACGTAAAACCCCCAAATTTGACTTTTCTGGGTATTGCTTCCCCGCAGTGCTCGGTGAGAAGTGCACTAACGGGGCTAATCTGTCGGGATCAGCACATCGAAAAGTATAAATATCACAGTTAATCTCAAAGCAAATATCAAATAGCATATTATTCTAAACTACTATTTGAAATTTCAAATACCTGCAGAACCTTACCTCTCAGGTAACGAGCCCTGTTCCTTTATACAATTTTACTCGACCTTTACTTACTCGCCACTTATAGTAATGCTCTGAATGTTAACCATCAAATCGCTTGCCCTCAGTTCTTCCAGCGCAATGGCCGCGCCTACCCAATCTGCAACGAAGACCCGCTTCTGGTGGAGGTGGTGGCCGGGGGCGGGCACAAGGTGGCCTGCGACGTGCAGCTGGGAGGGGCCCATCCGAGCGAGGCCAATCAGGCACGTGTCCAGTTCACTGTGCGGCGTGCCGGACCATGCAGCGTGTCGGTGCTCCTCGGTATGGTTCATGTGCGGGGCTCCCCCTTCCTCAAGAACTTCCTGCCGGGTCAGTGCCGCTTTCAACACGACGTGTTTCCCCATCAATGCATCAGGCTTGCAAAATATTTTTCGGCAGGGCTGAAAATGTATTTTTATCGTCCTTGTATTTGGTGATGAGAAAGGTGTACACAGGTTGACTCAGAATTTGTTAAAGATGCCCTGTATATGTCTACCTTTCTCATTTCTCATCTCACATGATGTAATGGTGTTGACATCAGGATGTTATGGTGCTATGAACCACAAAATACTGCAAAGGACAGACAAGGGAAAGAACACCAGACATGCCTAGCGCTAACTCACAGCTGTCGTTTTAATGCGCATACGAGAAAAGAGAAGGAAGTAGTGTCGTTTTCGTCTTATGATTATACGTAACTACTCTCACTTCTGGCTTCTCTTTTCTCGTAAGTGCATTAATTGAAACGACAGTTGCGAGTTGGTGCTAGCCCCGTCTTCATCGTGCTCTCCTTGTCTGTCCATTGTGCAGCTTATTGGTCATAATGCTAACCAAACTAACCGGCCTCAATATTTTAGCGTCACGGTTCGTCACAATTTTTCTGCCGAATTTAGCGGGGGATGTAAGTGATGCCCATATGGGGCCATATTGCTTGCATAACCTTGATCTGCGCGTTGGTCGAGAATAACTCCTCAATTTTCTCACAAAAAAACCAGCTCCGTGAAGGCTGGTTCACACACTTGTGACTCCTTACGACCGTGTACCTTAAAACCTCTTAAAATCTTTCACAAAGAGAGAACACACTGGCACCATCTATAGGGTAGCCGTGGACACTTGCAGTTATTGTATAAATAAATTTTTTTTGTGCACTGTTCTTTTTCTTGTCTCGTAAAACTTTTGACAATGTTTTAAACAATCAACCATGTTTCATATGCAGTGCATACATTTGATCTCTTTTGCTAGAGCAAAGGTTTGCCGTCCTCGGTTCTAAGCAAACGCGAGTGCGCAAACGGGCCTCGACGCGTTCTGTATTAACGTGTACCAACTAGCCTGACCTGGTGCCTCGGTCACTTAGGGCGCCCGGATCCGCAGAAGACGGGCTTCATCCACCACAGCTGCACGGTGGTGTGCACCAGGGATCTGCCGCACCACCTGTTCCTCGAGCCCAGGGACAAGTACAACAACCCCTGCCTCGTGGACGCCCGGGCCGACCCCAGCGACGAGTACAGTGTCGACATCGTTGAGGTGCGTGCGCCTGTGCCTCGTCTCGCTCGTCTCTCTCACTTTGATCGCCTTCCGAACTGGCAAAGCTGGGAAAGTAACTAGGTTACGTTGCGGTCTTACGGACATATCCAGTTGCAGTTACACGCTTGCTAAGTTGCATTCCGATTTACTTTCGAAATGTTGGATCACAAAATTTCGGCTATGTCGTGCGATGCCTTGTTGCGAGGGGAGAAGGGCTATTGGACCCGCTGCGCCATCTCTTGCCTGCTGTGCGAAGTTGCGGCATCATACGCCTGCTGCTCTATCTGTCGCTGCGCTATGATCCGCCCATGTTGTCTTGAGATTACGTGGGGAGTTCGTCATTCGGGAGCCAGCTGCACGTGCCGACAGTCGCCTGCTACCTCAGGCTCCCGTGAGTTGGACTTTAGTTCAGCCGCTTGCGCTCCCGTTCGTCTCCTTCTCGCGGCACTGAGGAACGGCGTCAGGCTGTGGATCGCACGGTCCAGGGTTTATTCCCACCGAGCCACTTTGTAAGTCTCGCTAATCATGCTTGATTACGATGAAGTATGGCTTTTACACAGTTATTTGCTTATCCGTTGCCTGCTGTGGGCTATGATGCTTTATCTGACCTTTGTCTTCATGTAACAGCTCTTTGTTAGACTGAAGCCTAACACTTTTTGCGTGGAATCTAGCCCATCGGCACATTCCGCATTAAAAGGCAGTCATGCTAGCATTTTTAATGTCGCACAACAGTTCAGCTGACATCCCTAATCGATTCGCACACAAGCTATTATTCTTGCATGGCTCCGAGACAACCCCGATGATGTTACTGCGGCCAGACTTGGAAACAGAAGCGATTCAACTTCCGAATTGATTTTATTTCACAAAAATGTATATTTTAAGGAGATACCTGTTAACTGTGCTCAGAAGGGTTCACTTGACACAGGGTGCAAAGTTGTTAGAAATTTGTGACAATCAGTATTTCAGGGGAGCTTTCCTTTCAATGAATGTCAAGATGGGCAGCCTTCTTGGCCGTCGTTTGAAAGCTTCTTGTTCAGGTCGCAGTCTTCTGAAGAGAGACCGAAACACGGACTTGGGCTGTCGTCTCGCACAGGTGCTTCATTTCCTCGTATGACCTGAATCGCAGGTTGATTCCAGCCGACCGGTGCCGTCTTCTTTCCGCTGGGAGTGCCATCCACAGAACTCTAGGATGGCACTGGTGCTGAGTCTGGACAAAGAAGGCTGCTACCAGGTCTGTGTACTCTTCACTCGTGTCTTGAAGCCCTCGTCTTGATGTGCATTTTTTTTTCTTTATTTGTTTCGTGGGTTGATTGCATAGGGTGCAGAGATAAAGGCACAGTGCCTGGCGAAGCCTCTACCCCCTAAAGTTCTGCAGCTCAAGATTGTTACATAAAATAATTCTACGAAACAAATCAAACCGCGTTCACCCAGAAGCTATTCTCTCGCGGGAAAATGACACTTCGTCGGTGTGCCGTGTTTCACTATAACAGGTATTCGAGTTTTGATGGTTTACTATATCAGAATTTTGAGCCATTGAGGAAATGGGAATCCAGTCGGGACAGGCGCTTGCTTTTACTTTAACCGGAGTTTTACTATGTGCGGAGTTACTATAACGGGGTTGTACTGTATTCGTAACAACGGGGTCCATATTAACGAGTTGTGACTGTAAAGCTTGCTAAAGAAACACCACAGACGTTTTTCTTTGGCTAGCTAGTGTCCAGGATGAGCTCATCACATTCATGAAGCAAGAAAACTATCCCAAGGGTTTTGTTTACTCTCGCCATGTATGGAACCCAAGATGCTCAACAGTGGAATCATTCCCAGGTGGCGTGCAGACGATTGGCCAATCTTTGGCCTTTCATCTGTAAGCCGTCTGTTTTCCATTGGCCGGTGCTCGGTGAGTGCATTCCGGCCGCATTCATATCGGCCTTTGATAGGTGGCCGAGCGATGACCGCTCGTCGGCGCGGATTCGGCCGATAGATGGCCGAATACTGGCCATGTGTCAGTCACAAAAGTTTGGCCTAAGTCAGTCACAAAGGTTTGGCCTCAGTCACAAAAGTTTGAATTTACCCTGAGACTTAGCAAAAAGCTGACTGATGCAGACTCCTTTGTGTGTTTGTGTCGGCATCTCTAACAGATTATCCTAAAACCCAAACGAGCAAAATGGTAGTTACTAGTTCTAAACAGATTAAAATAGGTTGACACAACACATTCTGCATTTTCGGCTTTACGTGAAGTATCAAGGTAATTTGAGAGGTTTCGAGCTCCTATGGGCCACCATTCAGTGAACGCACAATTTGGTTCTGGGTCATTCCATGTGAAACGTCCCAGACGTTGCGCTCGACCACCTTCGATTTCTAAAAAAAAATTCATGGGCTTCGGCCACAATGTCCGTAGCCATACCGTAAAATAGTTTTGACGAAAAAAAATTTGTGATGACGTGAGCGCGATTTTAATTTTTGAAAACAGCGTGAAACTACCGTAATATCCCGAGTCATCGCCCATCCCCGAGCCATCGCCCACCCTATTTTTTGGGCCAATATCGATTTCCGAAAAAACACCGAGTATTTGTATTTGGGGTATTTGAAGGGGTCGCCCACCCCTTCAAATACCCCAGCGCGGACTCTGCGATCCGCGAACACTCATCCTACCCGAATGACGCGGTCGCGGACCTTACAGTTGGAGGACCTCCGTGACAAAGTAAAACGAAGGAGGGAAAGACACTTCTTTTTGTTTACGCATTTCCTCCGTGAGCGACCCCAAAGTGGTCGTGTATCCGTGCGAAAAGAAAACGATGGAGATAACAAGATAAGAGTTTGTTAATGTAACCGCGGAGTGTTAGGTCAAAGTCTGTCTCCGCCGAAGTAAGGCCACCGCGAACCCGCTCCTTCTTCCCGCCCGTCGAGACCGCGGTTGTGCAATATTTTAGGCAAAGCCAAAGCGTAAATAAAGCTTTGCTGGAACGTCCTACACAGACGTTTGCAGAGCGTCCCAACCGTGCATTGATAGCCCGCCGTGCACGGACGCACGTATGTACGCACCAAACAAGAAAGTTGCGCAAGAGCTTGCAATTGACAAGGCGCCCGACTTGGCCCGACGCCAAAGTATTTGCCAACGCGACCGCCGGCTTTCCCGCTTTCCCAGCATTGCTCTTGGTCGCTTCTTTGGTCCGCTCGCTCGCTCGCTCGTTGCGCCTGGTCGGTTTTTCTGTTTTCTTGTAGACTTTTCTTTCTTTTTTTTTTTTACTAACTAGGAGAACATAGTGGTGACATTCTTTCACGGAACAAACGTTCGCGCTATATGCAGATCGGCGGTGTTTCTAGCGCGTATGCAAGCAACGGACTTCGCTATAGTAAAATATTCTTTCGTGAGCATTTTTTTCGATAAAATAATAAAACTAAATAGAGTTTTGAGTTTGATGTATCTCTTGTGCATCAGCGCTAGATACGCAGAGAAAAATAGGCGGTTTTTTCCGCTTTTTTTCAAGTGTTTGTGCTCACCCACCGAGACATGGCCCACCCCACTTTTTTAACGAATTTCAGGCGGTAGGGGGTGGGCGATGACTCGGGATATTACGGTAGGCATCACTGAATAATTTACGAAAAATGAGCTTTTTTATGAAATACCCAACAATATTTTTTTCTTAAATTTTCATGGTTGTCGGCTTACAATGTGGTTGAGTTTGTGCAGTTTTTTTTTAATTTAAATATTTTTAAAAAATGCATAATTTTATTCAAAAATAAACATTTTTGTTATTTTATTAAAAAATATATAATTGCTCCCGGGACCTAATATAACTGTTTACTGGTTGCCCCCTCTAGGTATATAGCCTATAAAAAATATTTTAAACCGCTGAATTAAACACCTTGCAGTAAAACAAAAATCCTGAAGTTGCCAAAAAGTGTGTTTTGACGCATAAACAGCCGTTTATTCCACCCTGAGGTGGTCCAAGTAAAAATACAAAATGTGGTGGGTTTGGAAGAACGATTGATCGTCTTTTGATTCTGAAAGTTTAATCAGAGTAATTTTTGTTTAAAGCGAGAAAACAATTTTTGAAGTTGAACTCTCGCACCACTACCCGGCGTCGCTTCTTAACGCCCACCTCATTTTTTTGGCCCAAAAATGAGGTGGGCGAGCCATCGCCCACCTCATTTTTTGGGCCAATATCGATTTCCGAAAAAACACCGAGTCATCGCCCACCCCTTCAAATACCCCAGCGCGGACTCTGCGATCCGCGAACACTCATCCTACCCGAATGACGCGGTCGCGGACCTTACAGTTGGAGGACGTCCGTGACAAAGTAAAACGAAGGAGGGAAAGACACTTCTTTTTGTTTACGCATTTCCTCCGTGAGCGACCCCAAAGTGGTCGTGTATCCGTGCGAAAAGAAAACGATGGAGATAACAAAATAAGAGTTTGTTAACGTAACCGCGGAGTGTTAGGTCAAAGTCTGTCTCCGCCGAAGGTCACCGCGAACCCGCTCCTTCTTCCCGCCCGTCGCGACCGCGGTTGTGCAATATTTTAGGCAAAGCCAAAGCGTAAATAAAGCTTTGCTGGAACGTCCTACACAGACGTTTGCAGAGCGTCCCAACCGTGCATTGATAGCCCGCCCTGGACGGACGCACGTATGTACGCACCAAACAAGTTGCGCAAGAGCTTGCAATTGACAAGGCCCCCGACTTGGCCCGACGCCAAAGTATTTGCCAACGCGACCGCCGGCTTTCCCGCTTTCCCAGCATTGCTCTTGGTCGCTTCTTTGGTCCGCTCGCTCGCTGGCTCGTTGCGCCTGGTCGGTTTTTCTATTTTCTTGTAGACTTTTCTTTCTTTCTTTCTTTTTTTTACTAACTAGGAGAACATAATATTGACATTCTTTCACGGAACAAACGTTCGCGCTATATGCAGATCGGCGGTGTTTCTAGCGCGTATGCAAGCAACGGACTTCGCTATAGTAAAATATTCTTTTGTGAGCATTTTTTCTATAAAACAATGAAACTAAATCGAGTTTTGAGTTTGATGTATCTCTTGTGCATCAGCGCTAGATACGCAGAGAAAAATAGGCGGTTTTTCCCGCTTTTTTTTCAAGTGTTTGTGTTCACCCACCGAGACATGGCCCACCCCACTTTTTTAACGAATTTCAGGCGGTAGGGGGGTGGGCGATGACTCGGGATATTACGGTAGGTCCAAAGAAACAACGGAGTTTGCTGCCCGCTTCCCCTCGTCCCTCTTTTCTGGCTGTAAGGGAAGAAACGACGGGTATCGGGTATCGTGTACTAATCTGAGGTGCCACCAGTACGTCGCCATAGCAGGCACGTTGTGCCCTTTGTACCCGAGGCGGCTCCTAGAGGGCAACCAGTAAACAGTTATATTAGGTCCCGGGAGCAATTATATATTTTTTTAATAAAATAACAAAAAATGTTTATTTCTGAATAAAATTATGCATTTTTTAAAAATATTTAAATTAAACAAAACTGCACAAACTCAACCACATTATAAGCCGACAACCATGCAAATTTAAGAAAAAAATATTGTTGGGTATTTCATAAAAAAGCTGATTTTTCGTAAATTATTGAGTGATGCCTAGTTTCACGCTGTTTTCAAAAATTAAAATCGCGCTCACGTCATCACAAATTTTTTTTCGTCAAAACTATTTTAGGGTATGGCTACAAACATTGTGGCCGAAGCGCATGAATTTTTTTTTAGAAATCGGAGGTGGTCGAGCGCATGTCTGGGACGTTTCACATGGAATGACCCTTCTTAGTGTTGGAATGCTGTGCATATGTTGATTGCTCGCTGAAACTCTGGTCTTTTATGTTTTCTAAACGCCAGGTGAAAGTCTCCTACCACGGCACCAGCCTCAGCAATGGAGATTTCCACGTCATTGTGCTCTCAAGTGAGTTTGGGACCGCGGTCTTTTGCTGTTGTCATGCAAGTCCAGAGTTCTATAACAAATACACAACAAGTCGTTCTGACAGAGCAGACGTTTGGCCAAAAACGTTGGCAAAATATCGCTCGTGCTAGAGACGAGGACTCTTCACATATACAAGTTGCCCCCCCCCCACGCGCTCATTTTGTACCCAAATATAGCGCTAGAGGTTCGAACCAGTTGCCAAAGTCTTAACACTAACCGTTATCTTACTAAAAAGGTGTAAGTGATTTCCTGAAACTTTCACTGGGAAAGTGGCGTCTGATGGAGCTCTTGAACGTATGGTGCTCCTTGGTACCAGAAACCGAAAACAGGCATTGACATATTTAGAAAATCACTTATAACTTTTGAATAAGTTATCGGGTATGTGCTTAAACTTTGGCATTTGGTTTGCACCTCTAGCGCTACATTTGGACGGAAAATGAGCGTCTGGCGATGCATAGTTCATTTTTGCAGATAAAAAAAAAAACCTGTAAATTTTTGGGGGGACACCCTGTACAAAGTGTTTTGCAAAATGTAAGCCAAAATTTTCTGCAAAAAAACTATGCATTGCCCAAAGAAATAAGTTGGTGGGCTTATTTAGGGAGGGGCAAAAGCTAGTGATTAATTATTTTTGAATATTTAGCCTTTTAATTTGTGCAGATCAAGATATGGTTTCAATTCTGAACTGCTGGGCATCGTGGGAATGCACTAAATAAAACATATTTTTGATGATTCTCGAAGAAACACCAAATTTGATTGTGCCCCGCTGCAGTTTCAGTTTCCTATTGGCTGCATCTTAATGCCAATGACCGATAAGAAAATCTAAACCTCGGAGGCACATTTTAATTGCTGCGTTCTCCTGGCAATAGCCAGTAAAGCATGCACACGACAATGACACATGAAATTTCGATGTTTTCTTGAGACGTGGTGAAATGATGCAAGTGCGTCAAATATTTTTCGAAGTGACCTACCACAACATACCGAGCATCCATTCATCCCACAATAAGTGACGTCCCCTCAATTTTGTAACACTTGGAAATTACGTATAAAGAACATATCTTTATGTATTGCTGACCTAAAGAGGACGTTCATCCCCCAGTTTTACATAATTATCTCAAAATTTTGAGTCGCCACTCTTTTGGGATTTTGCAGTATATACTAGCGGTTTCTGATGATGTCCAGCAGGCCTCTAATTGAAGGCATGCCTTTATCCTTACCAATTAAAGAGACAGTTATTGAAGACTGACTGAACACCTAATTACCTTAAACACTATGCACCTCTCTAAATGGGTCTCTTGGCAGTAATCAATAAGGCCTCTATCTTTTGTTCATGCGATGCATACTGTTGGTCCAGGAAAATATTCTCTGGCTTTGTTTGAAACATTTCGTAAAAATAAACGCAGCAATTAAATTAAAATATTGTCTAACTTCGCAAGCAGGGATTCTGTGTGTAGAGCAGTTTGCTTGACACAAACTCATCTATATCTCAAAAGGCATTTTGTTATGTCAATTGTTGGATCTATAAATTACTTTATTTTCCAAAAAAAAAACACAAAAAAAAACGATGCTGGTTTGACAAGGGAAAAAAAGCTGTTACAAACAACATTACTGGTCCCGAGCAGAAGTGGAGAGCCTGTCAAAATGTAGTCTTATACATTTGCAACTAACCAGCAAAAGAACATTGGTGAACTTGTACAATAGTAAAAAAAAAAAGCACTAAACAAACATAAAAAAACGGACTTTACGAGTTATCGTTGTGATCTAGACATTGGTATTTGTTTTATCTATATATGCTAGGAGTGCATGTCTATCATGGTACGTACTACTGTTAGCATGTATGCATTAGTATAGTCTTTTTTTTATGTTTTTCCACATGTGGTTTTAAACTAAGTTATTAAATATGGGCATCCAGGACATGACCCAATGCTCTTGAAGTGTCAATTTATGTATCATTACTAAAAGTAATGTGAGCATCATTGTGACACTTTGGAATGTCCTAAAAACTGCAATGTCATCTCTGAGTAGATCAAGAAATTGAGGGGCTGGCTACGTGCAATAATGGTACGAGTACACTTGTACCATTCGTGATGTTCACGGTCCCAGATGTGACACTTATACATGTGGCACTCCACTTTTGGTGGTTCGGAACTCCGTGCACTTACATACTCGAAGTTCAAACCCTATATTGACATTGAGATGCGCACATAAAATTATTGAGGGACTTTTTGGCGAGCTCTGCGTTTGCACTTGTACAACTATTTCATGTAGCCCCTCAGTTTCCGCATAAAATTTTTAAGGGGGGACATTAAAATCCAAAGCGACTTTTGCTTTTGATCACGACTCAATTTCAGCTTGTCACTCGTACATATGTGCTGAATCCAAATCTATATTTAGATTTTAACAAAACAGTGTAGGATGTTTTAGGGCCTGTCGTTCATACTTTTATAACCGCGGTGGTTCTTGTTTCTTTTTTTTTGCGAAGAGAGTGACATGGCGCTGGTTCAGAAAAATGTGGCCAAGAAAAGCCACAACATCTGGTACGAGGCCAAGCTGATTGCATTCAACTCTGAGAAACTGCTCAAGCCAAAGACAGTCTTCGTCTACATCTCACCAAAGGTGAGTTCATTCCGTGAACTCTGGTGCCAACGAGGTCCCAACGTTGTCACCTTACATCTTATATTCAGTGGCAAAGTCAAGGTTATCGCTAGAGTAGCCAAAGTTTTTCGTAGTGCCACTTTCCATATAGAATTCAGAAGAGCTTTGACCCTTTGACAATCAAGCTTTTTTTTTTTCCCCAACAGATGTTTCCCCGGAGGTCGGGTTTTGTTTCCAGAGGGATACTAGTATACAGAGAGCATCAATGCAGAGGTTTTTTTCTTAGTCATCTTACAGGTGCATGTACAGTGCTTGCAAGCTGTTCAGGTTTGGAAGCATCAGTTGGGAATATTGAAGGCAAAAAGTTGTTGTCTTTCTTCCTTTCGGTTTCACTTTGCCGCATCTGCTTCCGCGACACTCCGGCAGTTTGAGGTTCCGAACCGCAGGTACTTTACGGAGCTTCTCTGTCGGATGGTGAACTCTCATCCTCTGAAGTCAATTCTGAAAAGTGTTAAAAGTCTGAGTCGAAAGAGCCGACGGCGCTACAATTGCCACTACTGCCAGAGCAGCCGACATGCAAAGCAACCACCTCGCGTGTATCACCTGCGCGGATCGTTTTAATTTCAAAGCCATAAATAGCCCCAGGAGAGGGAACCACGTTGCGCATATGACATTAATAGTTCACCAAAGTCATAACAAATAGGTGGGCACTTTCAAATGCGTAATCACTATTGTACATGTACGGCCACAATCGTCAAAACGTTAAAGGCGAAATTTTGATGGTCGCTGATTTGCCTTACTATTGGTTCAACACGTCAATAGACAGCTGAGGTAGTAACTTGGGTTATGGTAGGTCAATATAATGTTTTTTTTTAGCAAACTTATTAGATTTTTAAATTTCCTTATGGTTTTTTTGCACCGAAATACCCTACTGGCAACATGACGGCATATCATACTTCTGGTTTCTAGGCTAGGTGGCACAAACTACCACTCGTTATACAGGGTACAGCCGTTGGCATCCATCCATCCGTCCATCCATCCATCCATGTTGTAGTTTGGGCAGCACAACCTGTACCCTATGGGTTACGTTGCATACCATCAAACCTAGGTTTGATGGTATGCAATGAATTTTGATGGTGTGCAATGAATGCTGGGAAACTCACACCTGCAGAAAGAAAAAGAAAAGTATGACACACCACTTTTTTAACTGGCAGGTTGCCCTGCAAGTTTTACATCTGACGTCGCCCCACCGGAAAGTGCAGGGAAATTCAAGTGTTGGTTTTGGCGTCCCCTTCATTTGCTGTTTTCCCAATAGCTATTCTGAATTCAGAAATAATAAAAAAAAAAAATAGGCTAGCAGGAAGGGTTACATCCAAGATCTTTTGAAAATGCGGTTAGTGCGGGTATCTGAAAAAAAGCCACCAGAGCTCCTTTTTAAATGGAAGCTCGATACTCTTATCTAGGAAGTTGTGAGGTATACTAATTTATTTTACTATGCTTTGAGGCACAGTTCCTGTTCGGTTTTACTTGCGTTGCTTCTCTCTGCAAGTTTTACGGACTTCAATCTTTATCTGGAGGGAAGCAGATGAATTCTGAGACACGCAGAATGTAGAGTAGTGTGCTCAAGATTGTGCGAAGGCAAAACTCAAGGGCCTTTTGTTTGGCGCCGGTTTAATGGTCATGACCTCCGACAATAACAGGTCAAAGCTTGGAACTTCCGGCGACTCGGTACAGTCAGAATATTGCTGGACTGTTTTCAATAGATATTGTGGGTGGCCGGAATTGCAACATCATCACAATCGACATAGTAGTTGGAACCACCAACTAGCTCAATCATCCACTATTTAAAAGTAGTAATCATAATCATATATTGCAAGTTTTGTGCTACACTTTTAAATAATGTGGAGTTCTGAGCAAAGGGCGTGAGTCGACTGGCCTCCTTGCTCAGAAGGGCTCAGGTGCTGTTAATCTATAATGGGTTTGCATATAGAGGTGCGACTACATCCAGCCACGTGTTGCCACGATGGCAGTTTCGCATTGTATATTGGAATGATGGCACCCCCGCTTTCTGTTTCTGGTGCGCAGCAACTGACGATAAAGGAATACGTCCTGAGGATCATTCCGAAGCGACTCGTCACATTCCGGCTCTGCCCGAGCACAAAGGTAAGAATAAACCTATTTTCCACCTTAAGCGGAGTGCAACTCGCATCTTCTAGGTGATTGGCATGCCACCGAAAAAATCTGTTAACTGCTGCTGCCAGTCTTGATCGGACACACCGCTTGGGTGCGATTCAGTGTTGATTAGATATAATAATTTAGGAGAAGCCTCCAAGGTGGAGAAGAATTTCCCAAGAATAAGTTGACTTCCACCCGAAATGGAGTGATATGTTGCACTCTCTGGGCGACCGGTGACCGTTGACAAAATCCGCTTATCCGGGCGAAGCACGAAGGCAAGGGAACTAGTTAAACTGTAGTCATTGAGAGGATAAGAACGGCTGGGCACCTCTCTTCGATGCCTTGCCTTCAGCACGTGTTCGTTTCCCTCCGCCGCGCTTTTGCTGGGCGCGTGCGCTTGAGGCCCACGAGATATCGAAGCACTGTCGAAGCTACACAGCCTGCTCTGGAGTCAGGACAACTGGAAGACCTTTCTTCCGGTCTAGTCCTGTCGGCCACCACTGGAAGGAAGGCATGCGAAATCGTCCCTCGAAAGGCGTCGCCATTACCAAAAGAGCCGTAAATGGTGGAGTGGCAAGCTAATGGTACCCTGCAGTTCATCTCGGTTTCTTGCCATTCTACCCTGAAATACGGAGTATCCACCCATTCCGCAATAAGTGCCTGCCCCTCAATCTATGCGACATTCGGAAAATACACGAAGGATGTATCCTTACATGTCGTTGACCTTGCTCGGGATTTTACGGTAGGCAGCACGTGACTGCAGAGATTCCTTCCTCTCTTTGTGCCTCTTACACGTGTGTGCATGTTCACATACACATACATGGATGCACACATCTGCATTAATTAACACCAGAGCATACTCGTGTCATCTTTCGGTGACTCGCGAGGGGAATGATCTTCGAAGGCTCCGAGCCCGCTCGTAAATGCACGAACGATCAAAGAAAAACCAAATTTTTTTTTTGTATTTGGACAATCTGTGGTATGAAATCCGTTTTAAACATTTCACGTGCGTTGTATGAAAATACTTTAGTTTATTTTGAAGCATCGTATAAACTAGACTACCGTTGCAGGAAGGCAAGCAGTAGGATATTGTCACAAATATAAAAAAAGTGAGTGATTATAAAATTCAAAATAAATGTTTAATAAGGCATACTTGTGCCTGTAACTAAATTAAAGGGAGACCGTACATCCCGCGTCGGCAACAGAAGGTCAACGGTCCCAAAGCAGCACATTGCTGCACTTTTATGCGCGTGGCACGGTCGAGACTGACCAGGACGCACGACGACGACCGAGAACGTGCCGGAACTTTTTCGAAAAGCAAAGATTGATCGAAGAAAGGACCGGGCCGAATGGGATTCGAACACCCTTTCATTCATGCGGCAGGAGTCTGCCTCACCAGCACTGCCACACGAGCGGCGATATCTTGCAACGCGGGAAATCGAGCATTGAAAGCGTTTGTTTAAACAAACATTAAAACAAAAACGAGTAATTCGAAAGCATTGAAACGGTATCACTGGCTTAATGACCACGGTCGTGCGGTCTCAGTTCCAGTTCCGTGGCAGCAACAACCAGGACGGGGAACCGGTGCTGGTGGTGGACGACGGGTGCCAGCCCCAGGTGGAGATGGTGTCTCCCGAGAGGGACGTCATAGCGGCCACCTTCACGCAGTTCCTGCTCAAGAACATTGGTGCGTGCGTCTGCTTCTGCCCAACCTTGGCCGACGTCGCGGTCCCTAGATTGGCGGCTCTCAAACCGCGGTTTGCAGGCCTTGCGGTTGATAGCATTTTGAAAGTATTTTTATGACTTTCTCAGCGATAGCTGTTATGGGGACTTACCAGCTGCGTTCACGGCGTCGGCGTCGTGCCGGGCAAAAATCTCCATTTCACGTGCGCTCTTGCGTGCACTGCCTTGTGATGCCAGGCAAAGTGCGTGCACTTGGTTCTTGCCAGGTGGCAGTGTCTTTTATGGAGTGTTTCTAAGCGTCTTTCGGGCGTAAAAATATTAGGGTGAATAAACCAGCGAACCGAGTGCAACGAAACTTGTCAACAAGGTGTTTTTAGGTGGCATATTTATTATACTCGAATTTCTTAAAGGGTCCCTCCGGAGCGTTCTGCGATGGTCTATTTATGGCGGTAACTCAATCTACAGACCCTAAGGATCCTAAAAATCATAAAATTACGGTCATGCGCGCCGGATTTCCCTATTAAAATTGCGATCAAAGTCTCCGGCACGCTCCCCTTTCTGAGATGACCCCGGAAAACGGGAGGGGCATCTCTTTACGCGTCAGCCAATAGCAAGCGAAGGATTCCGGCGTCACTGCGCGTCACCAACGTGGCTGACGGCCGACCCGCGGAGGAATCTCTCGAACACGCGCGGACCGTCGTCAAGGGGCCCGGACTTTGTGCTCGGCAGTCGTCGTTCGTCGCACCGCACCGTCGCACTGCTACTGCAGTATGCAGTCGCATTCCACAGATGGCAAGGAAAATTTTGACTCGTTGACGTGGAAGGATCGCAAAGCTGGCTTCGGAGTCGGGATCCACGGGAAGAAGGAACACGTGTCCCACAAACACACGCCTGCAGACACCCCGGGAAGCAGACGGGCTGACGCGCCGACGCATCACCCTCTAGCAACAAGCTTGCGGGGAGAGAACATAGTTCGCTCGTTTTGGAGCGGTAATTGCGGACTATGTTTCCCGCACCGCAATCAGTTTACGTTTTTCTCAAACTCTAATTTACAACAAGCTTAAAAAGTGTTGCAATAATAACGTTCGCATTCACCGCGAGATGCAGCATTTCCATTGGTCAAGTTTTAGCGATGGGCAGGGAATGGGGGATTGTCTTCCAAGTGAAGATAGTCCCAATATATTTCTACTGCCATCTGCTTAATAAACGGTTTTGTAATCTAAAACCTTGTACACATATTAACTTGCACCTACTACGCAATATGACAACATAAACAGACAATCGCAGAAAGCTCCGGAGGGCCCCTTTAAGTGCAGGCTTTAGCAAAAGTATTTAAGCCAAAAAAAAAAAAGCTTAGCTTTTTCCTAGGCACAGGGAGGAAAAAGGTAAAAATCGTCCGGTTGACGCTGCTGCTCATGGATTGCGTGACGTGAGGCAAAAACGCGAAATATTCTTTGGGATGGACAGCCGAAAGCAGATCCAGTAGATACGAGCGTGTGTGGTGCCATCTCTGAGTGGCGGCAACAACCGGACGGTTCTACCGTCTCCCTCTCTGTTCACAAAAAAAAAAAAAAAAAAGGATTTTTTTTATTTTTGTTTGTTTCCCGAAATTCACTTTCACGAATTTTGGGTAGGATAACGGTATCACCTAAAAACATCCGTTAAAAATTTGCACACACTGGTTCGTCGGTTTATTGATAAGAATCGTTCTTACGCCCGAATTGCGCTCACGAACACCCCAGTCTCCTACAATTGGCGGGGGATGCCGGTACACGGTCCTCGCCGTAGGGCTCGTTTTGCACGTTCCGTCGGCCGTGAAGCAACCCGCCACCCATCTCGATTTCGTCTTGGGCAGGGACGTCGACTCGTGTGTGCAGAGTGTTCCCTTTCCTACGTACCTTAGTGACCACGAGGCCGTGTTGCGTGCGATCGAGTTAATTAAAGAGTGGTTATACATGGAAGGGGGTGTTACTACGCACAGTAACGGCTGTCGCCGTCACTTCTCTCTTTCCCTTCCCACCCACAGGAGGGTCGGAGACGTTCAAGGACAAGCTGGAGTTCTTCTACCACGAGGTGCGCAAGCTGCACCAGAAGCATTTCCACGACAAGCTCCAGCTCAAGGTCGCCAGGGACAAGATCCTGGAGTCTGTGAGTGGACGGGACGCGTCGGTCTCATGCAAAGCACGTCTGTTCACGTACTCTGCTGAAACGGAGTTTAAGAAGATAGGTTTCCAATGAAAATACGTAGCCTGCATTGACCCAGATGCTGGATCTTTTATACTATTTGTTTGATGACATAATTTTGTATGGAAGAAAGGTGCTGGTGACAAAACACACTACAGTAGTCCCTCGTTATAACAAAGCCAGCGGGACGGCGAAAAAATGCGATATAAGCGGTAATTCGATAAAAACGAAAGAGAAAAACAAACGGCGACAGCAGCCTCAAAGGTGGACGGGAGCTCTGTGGAAAATTCTGACCATATATTTAATCGAACAGACCATGGTTATGAACAACTCGCGGCAACTTTACCGAGTAAAAAAATAAATAAGTGGGTTTTGCCGATAATTTCATCTCGGCATCGGCTCTCCTCAATCTACTTCAGGCATCGCAAGAACACTGTCAGCACGACTGCACTCCACTTTGTTTCAAAGCAGCCTTCAAAGCAGCCGTAGGATGTTTCGCGTCTCTGCAGACGTCGGCTTTTTCTGAGGTCCCTCTCCAACATTTCTCGTTGTTTACCCCGGCCGCACACAGGTCTTTGATCGCAGCATCCGTGGCAGGAGCAACAACGGGAATGTCCGCATCGACAAGCGCGAACAAATCAAAGTTATCCTTGATGGCTTTGCCAACATGTTTGCACACACTCCTGTAGATATTCTTGCAGCTGTGGGAATTGTGCGCCGGATCGGCAAGCATGCTTGCAAGAAAAAAATCAGACGTGCGCAAAGCACTTTGATCTTCGGGTTGCGGGCGCACTTTATTTTGCCTGAGAAACTTCTCGAACCGTCCAGTATACCTTTACTTGTTCCGCAAAATGGTGGACATTGTCGAACAGCCAATGCTGGAATGTTGAATTCTTTGGCCATTTCGTACTTGGGCAGCCACTTTCCTCAGCCTCGAAGATCTAAATGACTTTCGGCAAACGTTCCCACTCTCCCATACAATGCATGTATATGCTGCAGGTGCGCCCATGGAGGTGCGCGCGTCGGGGTCTTTTGAAGGGATGATCTTTTCCGAGCTCCGCCATCTCCATCGCTCCCTTCACCCGATTCCGACAGGAACTAGTAGGGCAGCATTGGCCGCGGGCATCCGGTGAGTAGCGTCAGAATGTGGACGCTGCTCCCGCTGCTCCCTGGCTTTGTCGGTGTATTGGCATTGGTAGAGAAGCGGAAGGGAATGTAAGGGTCTTTGTGCACCTCCGTGTAGGCTTGCTTGGTTTCGGCACCTCGGCCTTCGTAATAAGCGTGGTCGGCTGCCAATGCACTTAGAATAATCTGGTTCAAAATGCGTGCATCTTGTCCGGGTCCATGTTGAACTTCGATAAAAGCGATTTTGTTATGACGAAGAATAATCCAGTTCAAAATGCGTGCATTTTGTCCAGGTCCATGTTGAACTTCGATAAAAGCGATAATTTGTAAAAAGCGATTTTGTTATGACGAGGGATTACTTTATATTACTTCCTGTGTGATCATCTTAGTTGCAATGGAGTAAAAGGCATCTGAAAAACTAAAAGACATGATTGTATGTTTGTGCATTGATTTTTTTTTTTTTTTTGCATTTTAGCATTGCATATTACTTTTACTACGGTTTTCAGCAGAGAGCCACAGTATCACTAAATGAATATGAATATCTCGGTACATATTGTTCTTTCATATACTTCAGGAAATTGGTCTAGTCTCAGGTGTTATGACTATGTATCTTCAAACCTGGATTTAGAGGATTGCTCCTAAAATCATTTGCTAAGAAGCTAATGAACAAATATTAATTTAATAACAAAGTCATTGTAATAATTATCCTCTCGTACAATGTCTGCTGGGGTTGATATGTTGTTAGGGATGATCACACCTACAGTAAAACCTCGTTATAACAAAGTTGAAGGAGTGGTCGTAATTGTTTCGTTATAACCATTAGTTTGTTATAGCCAATGTCCATTTCTTCCCACTATAAGCAAGCAAGGGGAATTATGATTGCTTTGTTATATCCCTTAGTTTGTTATATCCCATTTTGTTATAACGAGGTTTTACTGTATATAACGGTCATCCACTTTGTAAAAGCAAAACCATCAATTAAACAGAAACCTCTCTAGTCTAAGAATTATGTTTAGATTTTACTTTAAGCCCGATTTGGAAACGTGCTGTTGCAGTCTATGAAGGCCACCAAGAGTCTGAGTACCAGCGACTGGTGCAAGAACTTCGAGATCATCTTTCTCGGCGAACAAGGTGAGCCAAGAACAAGCCTAGAGCATCGTGCTGATGGCTGTCAGATAATCAGATTTTTGGGCTGTGGGCCGGAACTTTATGCGGAGCGCAAGTTCGTCTGCATCTTGTGCTGGCGTTGTGGTGGTGTCAGAACGCCGTAGGCTGTAGGTTGCTGCTGTTTCGGTTGTTTTCGTGCACCAAAAGCTTTTTGAAACAAGAAGCGGCGTGGCTCTATGGCAACGCAGGCTCGGTGATTCGGTAGCTCCATGCCCTCGGTAGGGTCGCAAAATTTGGTCGCGAATGTAGGTTGAAATTCTTTGGTCACAATTATAGGTCTACCCTTCATTTTTGACAACATTTCCAAAAAAGAAAGGTCGACTTATATTCGAATAAATATGGTAAGTTATACAGTACGCAAATATACTACAGAATGTTTGAAATGTGGTATTCAAATATGTGAAAGTATGTTGAAAATACATCATGCAGCATGCGAGTGCAATTATGTCACAAATACCGTAAAAAAGTTCGTAAGAACGGCCACGCAAAATGAAGAGATAAATGGTGAAAAACATGGGGTGGGCTTTCTTTCGGGATGCCACAGCCAAACTTTAACAAAAATTAACGATAAACACGGGGGCACCTGCTACAAACCACGTGATGCGGGAACTGATACCGCAAATTGTAGACAAGGCAAATTCGCGTTTCACAGTGCTACAAACTCCTGTGACAGGGGAAAGGATACCGCTGGTTGCGGACGCAGCAGATGCAAGTTTTATGGCGCAATGAACATGCGGGAACCCACTAAAAGCTTGCCTGTCACGGGAACCGATCTTGCATGCAGATCACGGACAAAAACGCGGGAACCCGCCATGAACTTCCTTGTCCCACGTACCGATACGACAGATCGCACAATTGATGCGATTCCATCGTGCGACGTCCGATGGGAATTGGGGTGGGCGATGTTTCGGAATTTTTGTTACAGATATTTCGCCAGAAAAACGTGATGGGCGACCTCTCAGGGAGGGTGTTCTCACGGAATTTTATGGTACTGTATATTGCAAATGCCACACGCTCTGCCATGTATCGTAAAATACCGCGTAAGCACCCACTTTGTTCAAGTGCCCACTATTGACATTTCCCAAAATCTCGAATTGTGGAAATTATATGTTAGGTGCCCGGATTTGAGCAGACAGGCGCCCATGTTTAGATTAACCCAGGTTTTAGTGAAAGTGGGGTGGGTGCTCCCCCGGTATTTTACAGAAAGTAGTTTGCAACCCTTCGGAAGTATTGTGCTCTTCTGTCTGTGGCATCCTTGGGGGTAACAATTTAAAACTAGTAAACACTGAGGCACAAGGGCTGACATTTGGCTCCACTCTTCTTGCCAGGGCTCGACTGGGGAGGACTCCAGCGCGAGTGGTTCGAAGTCCTCTGCTCGGCCCTCTTCGACCCGGAGAACCAGTTGTTCCATCGCTTCAAGAACGATAAGCAGGGACTGGTGAGATTCGGAACCCGCTCAATTTCTCCAGATTTACTTTTCAGCGTCGTCTTCCCAATTTTAAACTCTGAAGAAAAGCCCTTTTGGCATGGCCTTCGCAAGGTTCGGTTGCGTGCACATTAATTTGTTTTTCAGTTGGCACCTGCCCCACTAGAGCTTCAGCTTACATGTTGAACCTGCTGCATAGTTACGTAGAAAGATGCGAGCTCGAAAGTAGCTTGGCGACTGCCTAAAAGGTCATCCTCGAACGAATTCTGCACCAATAACTCAGCTTAAAGATGCAACTCACCAGCCAAAAACCCAGCCGGAGGTCACATTTTAACCGTACGGTGTAGCTGGCATGTCACAGCTGACAGTTTTCTAGAACCTTTCCTAATAGAATTCCAGAGAAGGTCTACTCTGTATCTTGGCTATTTGGGCTGGTGAAGCCCATAGCTGCATCAAATAGTCCGTGTCTTTTTTCTCATGTTGTTGCAACATGGAGTAATCAAACCTTTTCATTTTAAAGAACTCTTGGCTACCCACCTTATGACATCATTGTGAATCTATTGAAGGAAATGCATGCTCGAAAAGACTGTGCGCTCGCTTGTTGTCAGCGCAAAGCATTGGTTGAAGTGTTTAACTGCAAATTTGTGTTGTATTGAAGAACGTGGAACCTGAATGGTTGTCAGTACACAAAACTCAAAGTATGTACTCAGCTCATTTCAGTCATGGAAACTCATAACTGCTTAGTGTTATCCACAGAAGAGGCTGTTCCCTGTACGCTACGCCATTTACATACTACAGCGTTCTTAGTTTTTAATGGAGAGGAAATGATTGGTCATCCTAAGCCGTTGGTTCCCAGCAACCCAGTTTAAGAACTTTCAGAACTAATGCCTCTGGGGGAAAATTCTGTTCCCTAGGGGTTAGGATAACAAGACAGAAACCTAGGGAATACCTTGGAACGATATTCCCTAGGTGGAAATTTCTGTTCCATAGGCGCTCGTTAGGATAGCGAGGCACTGAGGAAGGGTATTTCCTTGGTGGAAACTTCTGTTCCATAGGCGCTCGTTAGGATAGCGAGGCACTGAGGAACGGTATTCCCTAGGGGGAAACTTCTGTTCCATAGGAGCTCGTTAGGATAGCGAGGCACTGAGGAAGGGTATTCCCTAGGGGGAAACTTCTGTTCCCTAGGAGTTTGTTAGGATAGCCAGGCATTGATGAACAGTAAAACCCTAGAGAGAAAATTGGGCTCCATGGGGTTTGTTTGGTTAGCAAGCCATTCAGTAATTTAAAGGTTCATAAATGGAGGTTTGGCTTCTTTTGGGTTTAAGCTTGTGAAACTTTGTCTCCCTTCTACTCTCAGCATCCCGTGGAGGCAGGGGGGTAAATGCGGCAAATTTTGAGCAATAACGTTGCTGGTTCCAAGAGAAAGAACTAGAAAGAGAACGACCGAAAAGCGGAAAAAAGAAAGAAAAGCAGGCGCTAGGTTAAGTGTGTTCGTCTTTGCCACAGTGAGTCGAAGTTCTTTGAGTGCTTGTCAATTTTATTTATTACCGTGAAACGTTTATAGGCTAGCTTTTCAGATTAAACGAAGCCACGAAAAGCCTAACCGCGAATTTTTCTGCTAAATTTAGCAGGGAAAGTGACGTCACGTGGCTTGATGTCATGTGAGCTACTCACAAATTCAGTCTTTCAGCTAAATTTAGCGGGAACATTGACACGTAACCGGCCGCAGTTCGTCATTCCCCATACTCTGTGGACAGGCCGCCCCGACGGAAAAAGTCAATCGGGCGGAGAGGAGTGAGCGGAGTCAATGTGGTGGAGAGGAGTGAAAAGACCTGAAGGCAGAGCTGGGCAAGAAACGCCTGGAGATTACTAGCGCTAAACCAAGAACATTTCACGCAGCAACACAGTTACAGAGCAATTTGCGATACATTTTCTTTTATACAATGCACAATGATAGTGTTTTCCTGCAAGGTAGACCAGAAAAGAACTACCGTAAAATACCGGGGGGAGTGCTCACCCTGCTTTCACTGAGAACTGGCTTAATGTAGACGTGGGCGATGGTCCGTTCAAATCTGGCGCTTAATGTATAATTTGCAGAATTGCCAAGTTTGGGAAATGTTAATTAGTGGGCGCTTGAACAAAATGGTCGCTTCCGTGGTATTTTACGATAGGTCTTGCAGGCGACGGTTTCCTGCTTTTTTTTGTATACTGAGGCGTCGCAATGGGACCACCAACGTCCGCGTCTATGCCTTGCCTCTCCAAAGCAACCAGAAAGCATGGGAGATTTTCCTCTAGTTTGAAGGTCGGCAACCCGCGTGGCAGTCTCATGCGGCCTCCCTGCCGCTTTTTTTCACAGACTCGAGGGCCACAGCAGTTTTGACCTCCAGTGGGTTCAGACAGGAACAGGGAGCGCTGCCACTTGGCATTTTCCGGCATCCCCATATTTGGGCAGAGAACCGTTTAAAGGAGCTGTGCAGCGATACTCAATTGGAATGTTTTTCTCTCTACACGAGCTTACTGGCACACCTGGGACTCAAGGATACTCGCACGCAACGCCATTGGCCAAGAAACTCCTTTGTTGCGGTGTAATTTCAAGGACAAAAGCGATCATTTTCATTCAGTTTCTCCTTTGCAAAATTTGATGACGTAACTCGGGTATCGCAGTACACCCAAGTGACGATATTTGAATGCGGTTCATAGATTGGACCCGAGCATTGCGTGGGCACTCGACTTGGGCTCGTGACAATTGCTAGCTCGAGAAGCATTCGCGTTATGACCCGTGTCCAATCGCTGCAACGACAACAATAGCCGAGCCATAACAATGTCTGGAACTCAGCGCGTGTCCTGCGCTTTGCGAACCCCAGCGCGTGGCTATGATCAACACTGGCGGCATATAATCGGCTCCAGATCACGTGGCCGCTTGTTCTGGCTGCGAGTTGAGGAGGTGAACGCTGCTCGTTTTTCTTTCTTTTTTTTTCTGGGACTTCTATTGCGTGGGGTGAAAAACGAGCGCGTGTTTCATAGGTCATTAACGTTAAGGATCCGTTTTAAGCGGTATTTGCGCAAAGTACAAAAATTGTTGCATGGCTCCTTTAACTTTCTTTTTGCTTTTTGCATTGCTTGCCCTCCCTTCGCAACTTGCCGTCCGGCCCCTCCGTGTCGGCTTCGTGATGACTCTGCCTTTAGCTGTGAAAGGTTGCCGACCCCTCCAGGCTCCACTAGATCGTTATACTAACTCCATGCGTGGAGGGTCCCGTTAAGTTTCGATCCCGCCCCCACCATGCAGGTGCACCCTAATCCCCGGCGCCCGTCGCACCTCAAGTTGAAGCACTACGAGTATGCGGGGCGCATCGTGGGCAAGTGCCTGTACGAGTCGTCTTTGGGCAGCGGCTACCGGCAGCTGGTCAAGGCTCGCTTCTCGAGGTCCTTCCTCGCCCAGCTCATTGGGCTCAGGGTACACTTCAAGGTGGGCTTCCCCTCGCTTCTGTCATGCAGTTTTCCTAGGTTTCGTTCTGAATTTATTGCAGACTGTAAATTAAAGGCTGGCTCGCGCATTCGCGTTCGAGTATGATACACTACGTTGCAGCTGCTTGTAACCGATTACGATGAGAGAACAGACTAGCACCATCCATCGGGTGACCCCGGAACAGTTCCGACCTAGGTATATTTTACGAACCATTCATTCCCTGTGTGGTTGAAATAATCCTGACAATGTTATAAGCGACCATTGCTCGTGAATAGTGTGCAGATCTGGTCTCGCAAATACTGCAAAATCTTCAGTCTAGTAGTTATATGCAGGCCGTAAGCGTTTTCAGGACTACTTGATAGATAGCACCAGCGTGCCAGTGTGTTTTGTCGTCGTAGGCAAATGGTTGCAGCGCAGTCGATCACAATCAAAAGCAGATCTGTGAAACAGCCTTGAGGCTCTGGTCAGGTAATTGACTGATCAGCTTCTCTTTATATCTAGTACTTTGAGCAGGACGACCCAGACCTGTACGTCTCCAAGATTAAGTACATTCTCGAGAACGACATGGACGACATGGAGCTTTACTTCTGCGAGGAGGAGTACACCAGCACCGGTCAACTTCTCAAGGTGAGCCAGTCCATTGCCAACCTTCTGCCGACGTTATACCGGTGATTTGCCGGCAACTGGTAATCACACGCTTTTCATTGTTGAGATTTGCCTGCTTGTAAAACAGACGCGTAACAAGAATTGGTTGAATATTCTGGGAAGCTGCCAACGGTCTGTCAACACTCTGCCAACATTGTACCAGTTTGTTACCAGCAAACTTGCTGTCACGCTTCCTTAATGTTGTGATTTGTCATGACTGTGCCTTCTCATAATATGGACACATAATCAAAATTGAGCAACTATATTTCAAGGCATCATAAAGTGCCTGCCAACTTCCCACCGACCTTATACCGACATGTTGCCAGCAAACCGGAAGTCATGCTTCCTTATTGCTGCAATTCGCCAGGACCGTGCCTGCTCATAGAATGGGCACATAATCAGAATTCAGTGAGTGTATTTTGGGGCATGTTCGACAGCCCGCCAACGTCGCGCCGTTATTATACCAACATGTTGTCAGCGAACTGGCAGTCACGCTTCCTTAGTGTTCAGATTTGTGAGGACTATGTCTGCTCATAGAACGGACACATCATCAGAATTCAGTGAGTGCAATTCGGGGCATTGCCAACAGTCTGCCGGCGTCCGGCTGACATTATACCAATATGTTGCCAGAGAACTGGAAGTCATGCTTCCTTATTGTTGTGATTTGTCTTGACACATACATAATAACATAAACACATACATAATTAAAATCTAATTAGTGTATTTCGCAATGTTGCCAGCAACTTACTGATGAACAGCCGACATAAAGCCAGCTTGCTGCCATCAAATTCACCATGAAGGCTTCTCTCAATTGTACAGACGACGGAGCTGGTGCCTGGGGGCTCTCGGATCCGTGTTGACAACCGCAACAAGCTACTGTATCTGGACGCACTGGCCCAATTCCGGTTAGCAACCTGCGTGCGCGATGAGGTGGAGCACTTTCTCAAGGGGCTCAACGAACTCATCCCCGACAACCTCCTCTGCATTTTCGATGAGAACGAGCTTGAGGTGAGACGCACTTATGTTATTGTTAGAGAGTCTACGGCCATATCGTATCACTAAACAAAATTGATTGGGATTAGCTTTTTTGTTTTTAAACATTTTTTTTTAAATTTGTTGTTGTTTTGCCTTGTATTGATACGTATTCAGAGATGTGTAATAATGGAGGCACTAAATGTTTTTACATTGTAACTTTGGAGGGATGGGACAGATGCCTATATACCTGCTTTAACTTCAGTAAATTGATTCCTTTGCATGTCACACCTCATGTGCCCTCACTTGTCAACAAGTGCCAATAAGGATTGTGGACACATAACAAAGCCACTTTTCGTTTTTCCGTTTCATTGGCATTATAAATAACAAATTACAAGTTCAAACTTTTTCAAAGTGATTATACTGAAGAGAAACAAGTTTCTAAGCATGCTGTCTATAGAATGCAATTGGAGAGAATGAGTAAGTTGTTTTCAGCTGGTAGGTTGGCATGCAACGTATGTTGGTAATTTAAGCTCAGGCATACCTCCATCTTCAATGTTTAGCGAGTCGTGGAAGTCTTGTGTTCCGCTGCATTCAAGTGTTCGACCTCTGTGTTGCCCACAAATCCAAGAATGAGAATCGAACCGACTGGAACATTTTGGCAAAGCTTTTCTACTGCTTGTGGAATTAAAAGAAGTTGTACATGAAATAGTTTGAGTGAAATACGGATTTAGTTTTATGAAATAAAACTACCCCTAGAAAGTGGGTTGAAAGGATTGGTATCCCTCTTTTTATAGACGCTTGCTAGCAGCCATGCTTGAAAAGCTAGTGTGGCCACCGTGGATAGAAAACACTTTGTTTGGGAGCCAATCTGACAACCATAGGCACGCCTCAGCAAGGCTCGACTACAGTGTTCTAGAGCTCGACTTTCAGATGATCTACACACGTGAGCAGCAAGATGGTGACACCCAGAGGTTGTACTTGTGAACGCCCTTATAGCCTGGGAAACAAACTGTCAACTTCACTTCCCAGCCTTGCGGAGATGTTTGCGTTAATGTTGGAATCCTTCTGTCCTCCACGCAGCTGCTGATGTGTGGCACTGGCCAGTACAGCATAGCCGACTTCAAGGCCAACCACACAGTCAGCGGGTTCTCCTTCGAGTTTAGAAAGGTGAGGCCGGGTTTGGTCCAGTTCACGTCTTAGATGAAATCGCGTTGAAAGCCACGTGTTTGCATCCTTTTATCGCCGATTCGTTGCACCCAGACGTAACTAAAGGCAGCCGTAGGAACATGTACTGGGCACGTCTGCCAGCAGTGTCGGTCGAACGATCGCCTAGCTACATTTGGTCATTAAGCCAAATGTTACCATCATCGTAGCATTTGCTTGAGTTGAAAACAGCATTTTCATTGGGTGGCTCTGAACCTCATTCGAATCGGTTTCGTTTACTTTATTGGGCAATACTGCGTAGAAACCCTTCAGATCTATGGATAGCTAGATGGTCTGAAGGGTTTGCGGTGAGAAAAAAATTTTGTGCAAACTATATCAGGGTTTGCACGAACCCTTGAAAGCCAATTAACAACCCTTGAAATTGAAAACGCCATTTTCCAGACCTTGAAAGCCCTGAAATATCTAGCGGTGCTTGAAAGCCCTTTAATTTTTCAATGATGGTCAATTAATTTTTTTTTGCAATAAAATATTTTTAACGTAATAGGATATATAATTATTTTTTAATGTTTTTTTAACATAAATTTCATAATTTCAACGAGGAAGTTTTTTTATATGGTATATTTACCGTCAAGCACCCGGCCACAATAGTAGCAGTCCCGGTTGTTCTGGATCCGGTCTCACCCGTCCGCCATCTTGGGGTCTTGCCCCTTGTTCGACTTGTTCCCTCGCATACTGTTTGCTAGCCACCCCTGGTTTGCTTGTTCCATGTCCGTTTCATGCTACATATGGTGGACGTAGCTTAAGTTGTGCGCGATTCCCGGGAAGTGAGACTGCAGACACCGAGAAGGCAGAGGCAACAGGCGACGTCACCTAAATTGTCAAGTAGAACAGCCTAAGGAAAGTGGCAAAGACAAAGGTGCAAGAACTTCTAAACATCAGCAATCAAGGAAAAGCTGCAGTAGCTCTCCCGAACCCTTTACTAGTACCTCTTTAGCAAATGCACCTTCTTCCAGCTATTGTGCAATAAAGAATTTCCGCACTCCATTTAAAAAGCGTGTTATATTATAAATTTACTAGATGGGGTCCTTGAAAATATCTTTACAGGCTCTTAAAAGTGGGGCGACCACCTTCCTGCTAGCGAAATGCAGGACACACGGACTGGGGGGAGGGGGAGGTGTTTGTAAAAGAAGAACGGTATTCTATTTCGACTGTGGCATCTGTAAAAAAGAACTTAGTGCCCAGTCAAGGAAGTTTACCGTGATACTTTTTAACCCTAGACTGGGTCAGAAGGAGGAAACATATTTTTTTCCTCCTTCTGCCCCAGTCTCAGGTTAAAAAAGATAATGGCAAAAATGACTATTCGAGGAAATTTATCAATACACGCCACGAAATGTGGATCTGCTAACACATTTAATATCCTGTCTTGTCTGAAAGCATTTTATACAGCTGCAAATTGTGTTACGGCAATTAAGCCCAGTGATATATTTTAAGTCTTAATGCCAGATGTTAATAAATGTGTCTAAGTTGAAAACATTAAATCGACTGCAGCAGTACTCAATGCATCAAAATGATAGGAGTAAATCTTTTATGGCTTCTTGTTTCCTGTCAATTGTGGAGGAGGAGGGAAGGGTGCTAAGGGGGGGTATACCCCTCCTCCCTCCTCCTCATCCTGTCTGCTATTCCTCCCTCCGAGCGGCATCACCGTCGCCGTAACTGTGAGGTTATGTGACCCTCGTGACCTCACAGGGGTCACGTGACTTCACCAAAGCCACGCGACTTCGTGGGGGTCACGTGACCTTACCGAAGTCACATGACTTCACGGGGGTCACATGACCACGGGGGTCACGTGACCTCATGGGGGTCACGTGACCCCCATGAGGTCACCTGACATCATCGCCATCGTCACGATGATGTCATCAGTGACGTCATCATGATGACGACGATGATGATGTTGTCGTGATGACGTCACCAAAGACATCATCAGTGATGTCACAAGTGATGACGTCCTCAGTGACATCAATGACGGCATCATCAGTGACGTCATCGTGATGATGACGTCATCACGATGAAGTAACTGATGACGTCATCAGTGATGTCACAATTGATGACGTTATCAGCGGTCACACGTCCCATAATGCACCGCGCAGTTACGCCGACGGCGATGCTGCTCAAGCCGGAAATGGGCGCCTAAGAGCTGCTCTCTAAAATTGTGTACCATTTCGATTCACACATTTACCAGCTACCTCCGCACTTCCCCGTGCCCTTTTGTTCGACAGCGCCATGAGTTGCATAGTAAATTTTACGGCATCATAAAATTGTAAAAGTGTGAAATGCGGAACATTTTGAAGATTTCGATATTTCTTGCGGGATGCGGGACACGAGCCCTCAATGCGGTGCAGTCCCGCGAGTTGCAGGACAAGTGGTCAGCCTATTTAAAATGCCTTGAAAACGCTTAAACCTTTTTCTTTGAAGCCTGTATAAACCTTGTATATGGAGATTAGAAGTGTTCCAGTCGATCACAATCGGACGCAAATGTGTGAACCAGCCATCGGTGTTTTTGATCCGCATCTTTCTTGCCCCCGTGCGTCCGGGCGCAGGTGTTGGATTGGTTCTGGACGGCGGTGTCCAACTTCACGGAGGAGGAGATGGCCCGGCTGCTCCAGTTCACCACGGGCTGCTCGCAGCTGCCGCCAGGGGGCTTTGCGGAGCTCAACCCCCGCTTCCACATCACCTCGGCACCCACCTTCGGAAACCTGCCCACTGCTCACACATGGTGAGATGCACTACGGTTGCCCCGGATTGAGTCACTCAATGAGCTATGCTCAAGGTCTGTTCACGCACGTAGCGCAGTGCCAGAGGCTGGTTCACACATTTGCATTTGAGCATGCTCAAGTGCATTGCGTTCCCCCGTCACCACATGACGCCACTGGCACACTGGTGCCGTCCATCGACTAGCTCTGAAACACCTCCGACCTGGTTTTATATTTCTATAATTGTTTACATGCTACTATCATTATTTAACTTTATGCTTGAAATACTTCTGACAATTGTTACAGGGGTGATCACTTCTCAAATTCTTATAGATAGTATGTAGGTTGGATCTCGCAAAAAAAATTAGGTCTAGTTCGAAAGTGACCCAGGACTCTCCAATAGATGGCGCCAGTGTGCCAGTGCGTCAAGGGGTCGCAGGAGAACAAAAGCACTTGAGCCCAGTCAAATGCAGACATGTGAGCCAGACTTAAAGGTGTGATACAAGAATTTTTGTACTTTCAATAAATACAGCTTAGAATTATTCCTCGACATTTGCAACCTATGGGCCTCGCTTTTTTTTTTCTTCGTGCAATGGCAGTTGCAAAAAATATTCGTAGAAAAACGCACACCGTTTACTCCCTCAACTCGCAGCCAGAAAAAGCGGCCACGTGATCTGGAGCCGATTATATGCTGCCAATGTTTTTAACATACCCACGCATCGAGGTTGGCAGAGCAGAGGGCACACGCCGAGGTCCACACATCGTTAAGGTTAAATTATTCCCGTCATCTCAGCGATTGGGCACGAGCCACTACCCGAATGCATGTTGAGGCATCGATTGTCACGAGACAAAATCGAATGCCTACGCAGTGTTTGTGTCTACTATGTGAGCCACATTTAAATTATCGTCAAGTGGGGAATGCAAAGCTTGATGGAGCACTTCCAGGGATTGCATTGATGGCGTTTTCCCCGCAGCTTCGTCATCAAAGCCCCAAACTGCTTCGATGCCTAGCTGGCTCCACCGAACGAAAGCCACACATACTACCGTATTTACTCGCGAAATGAACGCACTTTTTTTTCCGAAAAATCGATGCAAAGTTGGGGGGGGGGGGGGGGGCATTCATTACGCAAAGTAAAATTTTTGCGTCCGTATTTACTCGCATAATGTGTTTTTCGTGTTTTTTTTCTTGCTTCCGTTGGATCTTTGCGAATTTTTTTAACGTTCGCCCACCCTGCCCATGCATTCGCGACCTCGCTGCACCAGGATAAAAAAGAGCGTTCATTTCGCGCGCGTAGGGGGAGGGAGTCAAAATTTTGACGTTCAAGTTGGGGGTGCGTTCATTACGGGAGTGAAAAAAAAGTCAAAATTTTGAGAGCCGACTTGGGGGGTGCGTTCATTACGCGAGTGCGTTCATTGTGTGAGTAAATGCGGTATTCACCCTCTTTCTCCGCCTTGCCACTGCTCGGAGTCGACGGGCATTGTGCAACTATATAGTAGTAGGGGAGGCACAGAGCTGGGGAACGTTACGATTAGGAGATGCGGCTTTCATAGCTTAAGAAATGGGTTTAGGAAGCTCAGGCAACGTTCGGGCGACATTGTTTTGTCAACGCGGAATACTTGAGCTTTTCTTGAGGACGGAAAGGCGTTTCCCGAGATGTCAGATAAAAGCTTCAGGTAATCGGCAACAATTGTCGTTACTTTGGAGCTTAGCTTATCTAATGGCTCTAGCTACCGAAAAGCATTGTTTCTGGGCTTTTTGGTTTTCCCAGATGTAGATAAAACCGACTCGGGTGCTACTTTTTGTCAATATTGTTTCAAAAACACAGAACCCTAATCGCAAACTTCTTTGACGCCCCCCCCCCCCCCCCCCCCCCCTCCCCCCCCAAAAAAAAAGCCGGTGTAATGTGCATCCTCTTCCGCCGGAAATACTAAACTGCTCTTCCGTCCCGTTTTCTTCCAGCTTCAACCAACTCTGCCTTCCGGACTACGACTCCTACGAGCAGTTCGAGCGAGCCCTCCGGATTTCCGTCAACGAAGGGACTGAGGGCTTCGGCATGATCTGATTGGACGCTCCCGCCTCTTCCGAATCTCCATCTCCGCTGCCGTTCTCCGCCTTCTTCCTCGTCATTCCTCTTTAAGTAGCTCCCGACGTGACTTTTCTGGAGTTGCGACCGCTCCTGGTCGCGGAACGTTGGCGCCGCGTTTCCTTTTTTTAAAGGCGTTCCAAGAAACCGCGTCGGAGCTTACGACGCGTGTAGCTACGCCCGTTGTTGAACGACTTCAATTTTTTCGGTCGCTTCGTGGCCGTGAGTTACTCCGTACTCTTAGGAGGATTGAGCCTGCGGCAGCATGCCCCCGCCGTTCGTGACAAAGCAAAACTTCTGTTGCTAAAGAGTGCCTTGGTGCCGTCTATTGGATTCCGCTTTGTGCCGGGCGCAAGAAAGCGACCTTTGTGAGTGTTGCACACTTCGGAGACGTTCTAGGCCGCGTTTTTTGTTCATTTGTTGGTTTTAGACGTGTCGTGAAACTCTGGGAGACCCGACGAAGCCTGGTTTTTGGCGGCGGCTTCTTTTCGTCTGGGATTAGGTCGAGCGTGAGACAGCTGCCCACACTTCCAGCGTTTGTCCGACGTTTCCGAGTTGCCGTTGTGCGGCGAGGAAAGAGAGGTGCTAACCCACGCAACGTTTTCGTTGGCCTCGCCTTGACCTCAGCGCATTCTTTAAGTTCCTAGTTCCTTGTTAGTGAAACTAAAGTGAGAGTAGCCGGTACTTAATTCAACTCATTGGCGTTGGCCAGGGGGACTCTCGTCGACTTCCTCAAAGTGTGGAAGAGGAATATGCACGGCGTGTTTCTGGATAGCTTGCGGGAACCTGCTGCTGCCAGTTTTACGAGTTAAGCCTTAGCATAAGCAGCAGGTCAAAGTTAGTCTACGAATACTAGCCTGGTACACTCGAGTAGCCTCTCTTTCTACTTCTCGCGACCAAGCCAAAACGTTTAAACCCCATCTTGTGCCAGACGACGAATCAGCCATTTCATTGTCATCCTGTTTATCGTCGAAGCGGCGTTATTGGGTCGCCATAGAACGTAGCTTCTGGGCGTGCTTCGTCTCATTCGTCGGTGCAAACCTTTTTCACTTTGCGAGCACTTTTTGCAGGGAACTGGCGTGCTGTGTTCCGTTTTTCTCTTATCGAACTTTAGGCATAGTTGTTTTAGGGGACCATCATTGATCATTCTGCGCAGTTTCTTTCTTCTTATATTTTTTTTTATATGTATATAGGGGAGTAGCATTCTTTTTGATGCTAGGCAAAACTACGCTGTCTAGTCAAGTTTGCATCAAACTTGTCGCACGCGCGAATGTCTTCTGTGTGAGAGGTTTGCGTTGCCCGTCTGTTTCTCCCTTTTAGACGGGACACACCAAATACGGTTTCAAGCGAAACGCCCTGCGAGGTGACACTCACCTTTTTCGCTACATGGTCTTCAAAGTGCGCGCATGCAAAACTGAGCGACGTAATAAACATGGAAGTCTTTAACTTAAAACCTTGTGTACCTTGCAGCGAGCGTTGCATCACATTTTTTTTTTTTTTGTTTTGGTTTCACGTTTGTTGCACGATCACACGGCATCAATGTTTTTTTTATAATGCCTTCACTGGACGCTATATCTAACTGCACTGCTCACTGCGCATGCTCGGAGCCAGCTTGCACCTACAGGCTGCCAAAACCGGCAAACAGCGTGGATTTCTTGTTGCAAAAGCACCGTGGAAGCCCGCCATCAGACGGCACTAGGCAGCCACGAACTCGGCTATGGTGGCCAGTGGATACCCCCTTGTCACGCACTCTTTGCCCGCTCAGTTCCGGTTTGAAGCGGTGCACAAGGAGGACCTCGGTCGCCCCATGGCACCCCGACAACAAATTTTTCAAAGGTTGCCTCTCCAAACACATGGTACCGTCGAAAATGAAAATTGAAATGGTTAGTTTAGAACTGCCTTGTAGTCAGTTAGTCAACTAAATGAACCTCTTTCAGATCTTTTCTATTGGTTGCCACAAAATCACCAACTTGGGCCCAGGGCTAATAAAAGCGTGATGTTTCTTTTTCCTTTTATTATCGAAACCGAGCAAAAAAGAAAAAAAAAAAGTACCCGTAATATCCCGAGTCATCGCCCATCCCTGAGCCATCGCCCACCCCTATTTTTGGGCCAATATCGATTTCCGAAAAAACACCGAGTCATTGCCCACCCCTTCAAATACCCCAGCGCGGACTCTGCGGACCGCGACCACTCATCCTACCCGAATGACGCGGCCGCGGACCTTACAGTTGGAGGACGTCCGTGACAAAGTAAAACGAAGGAGGGAAAGGCGCTTCTTTTTGTTTATGCATTTCCTCCGTGAGCGACCCCAAAGTGGTCGTGTATCCGTGCGAAAAGAAAACGATGGAGATAACAAAATAAGAGTTTGTTAACGTAACCGCAGAGTGTTAGGTCAAAGTCTGTTTCCGCCGAAGTAAGGTCACCGCGAACCCGCTCCTTCTTCCCGCCCGTCGCGACCGCGGTTGTGCAATATTTTAGGCAAAGCCAACGCGTAAATAAAGCTTTGCTGGAACGCCCTACACAGACGTTTGCAGAGCGTCCCAACCATGCATTGATAGCCCGCCGTGCACGGACGCACGTATGTACTCACCAAACAAGAAAGTTGCGCAAGAGCTTGCAATTGACAAGGCGCCCGACTTGGCCCGACAGTGTTTGTGCTCACCCACCGAGACATGGCCCACCCCACTTTTTTAATGAATTTCAGGCGGTAGGGGGGTGGGCGATGACTCGGGATATTACGGTATATTCACGTTACAATCCGATGCGGAACCAATCAAGCAGTGCCAAAAGTGTTGTCACGGCGCTCTTGTCTTTGTGCGGTTGTCGTCCCCGGCTAAACATTGCAAACAGTGAATGCCCCACGACCCTGGGCTTTTTTTTTGTGTACGATTGGTCTAGCCCGCCAGTACAAATGTGCATGCAATACAGACGCCATAATGACCCAGTGCCTGCTGCAGTTAGGCTTAATGTGAAATGGAGCATAGTAAGGTCATGGTTATGTGCACCAACGCTATACTTGTTTTCACCTCAAGAACCATAGTAAAAAACAGTCTGGCTTCTCGTGGAGGATTACTAATTTCCTCCGTTATGTAGAGAACGGAGATAAATGTAGGTGAATTTTTTTTAGATGTGTTATCTTTTAAGGACGTGTACCAGGGTGGCAAGATGCGGCCAAGGGAATAAACAAATAGTCGTCCCCAACCAAGCCAAAAAAAGCGGCGTGACCTTCGTGAAGAAGCCCAAAACAAGCAGAAGTTTAATAAATGTACACATTCTTGAAAGTAATTTATTAATAATAAAATCAGAAAGAGAACTGGCTCAAATACTAAGGCGAACTCGCTCAACTACGAAGTCAGCGTGCCATGCCACTATCCGCCGGATAATGGCATGGCACGCTGAGTAACATGCCAGCTTGAGCTCCAGTTCTGGTATCATTCTTCAAGGCGACGACTTGGTGAGGCCCATGGTAGTCAAACGTGCACTGGAAAGTGGCCGAGAGTTCCTTACGTGTTTTTCTGGTGCCATGTGCTGAACGAGGTCGGCATGATGAGCGCGGATCTCGCACTTGCAGTACTTGCACGCTGCTTTTTAACCTTTCTGGTGACTGGTCATAGCCAGTCCCTTAAGCTGATTTCCTTTTCCCACTCTTTACAATATCTTTTGCCATACTTCGATAACTTCGAAGCCATTTTGCGCAAAATACAATGGCAACTAGACGCGACAACCTCGACTGCCGACTGGCAAGATGGGCAAGGCGCCGAAACATTTGTGAATGGATTGTAATTGTTTTGTACTTTGTGACGAAAGGTAGCTTGCGCCACCTAACTGCGGGGCCAAACGGTCATGCTGCTTTTCGCGTATTTGACGACAAACGCGCTGTCAATGAGCATGACGAGCAATAAAATAACAATATTTGCGGGAAAAACGTAAATAAGCCCAAAGAACGCGACAAGCGACTGGAAAAATCTACCAGCGACTCGGTGAAAAAAGAAGCCCAAATCGGCTTATAATAAGCGGAACTGGCCACCCTAACGTGTATGTTTCGAACGCCAAAAAGCAGCGCTCCTTCCTCCGACAACCAAATCTTGTAAGAACTACTTCGCGCGGCGTATGAACAATGAGCAAAACTTATTTTTCTTGAGATGAAAGCGTAGTGCAAGCAAACAGTTGGGAATTTTCCTACGAGCTTCACGAAGACCGCACCGTTATTAAACTCGGAACAATGTTGGAATCAGTGGTTGGCTTCTCATGAAATATTTTTACACCAGAGCTGTTAAAGGCTAGGTTCCCCAGGATCGTGTCCGGTACCAAAATCTTGTCGACCCAAACCTCCACAAACCTCTGAACAGCTACCGCCATCTATAAGCGACGGCGGCAAGCACACAACCAGTCTGGTTGCCGCCGTCGCTCGTAGATGGCGGCAACCTTTCCAGCTATCATAGAAGAATGGATAATTGGGCGAGTTGGTGGGAATTCATCGTAGGAAACAGCGCGCAAAACAGACGAGGACAAAGAAGAAACACACGTGATGAGCTCAGCGCTCATCACAAGTGTTTCTTCGTCTTCGTCTGTTTTGCGCGCTGTTTCCTACATTCTTATCAGTTTCGGTTTAGACTTAGGACGGGCCGTGCGCGTGCCCTTTCGAGGAAAGAAGACTGGGCGCGGAAAGAGCGGCGACGTATGCAGCTGCACGAATGGGTCCGCAATCGACGTGAAGCCGCTGTCGCCTCGACTTCCACTGCGTCCATCGCTTCAGACTCCCTTGCGAAAGGAGAGCACATCGCTTGCCTGGAAAGCCGCCGCCGAGAACAGAACCAGCGATGTAAACGGCGCAGGCGTGCTACGGGGGCAAGTGCAAGCGTGAGTCCCGGCGACGACAGCACTCCAGTCTCCATGCCGGCTGAACAGTTCCCGGGTGCAACGGCGAGGTTCCGGAAAGAGTTCGTGGAAAACCTGTTTGGTGTCACGTGCCCCGTGTGCGATCGACTCTGGTTCGCTGAAGGCTTATCCACGATTGGTGGCGTGTCAGACGAGAAGAACCGGGCGCTTGCGCTTTGCGGCAGCATATCGAGTCGGCGGACGTCTCCAAAGAACTGGCGTGCAGAACGTGCCGAGATTCCCTGCTCAAAGGCCGCGGTGCCCCGGTTTGCAACCGTGAACGGCTACAAGTACCCACCCATACCAGAGCACCTACCGAGGTTGAACGTTGTGGAGGAACGACTAGTGACGCCTCTACTCCCGTTCATGAGCCTTCGGCGTTTGACGTGGTATAACAAAGACAACCGGAGACAATACAGTTCTCACGTAACCCAGTACCCAATCACACCTTAATCCTGGCATTTATAAAAACTTAATTTCCACCATAGTACAGCTTTGCTGGTTTTCCTTCTTCACGAGAGTGGAAAGGCTGAAAGTGTTTTTTACACCTTGGCTGTATCTGTCTTGGCTCAAGAAAACTTAACGGTATATTTCTCCCAATCAACTGCACCATTGACACAAGGTTTGTAATTCAAGGGGAAACAGAACGACCAAGGAAGGCTGGCTGTGCAGCAAGTCTGAACTTCGTGTAATCTTAATCTGAACGATGCACTCACCGTTCGATCTGAACACTTACAAATGCTGTGCCTTCCATTATGTAGTTCCATAACTGCATATTTCAAGGTATCGGAACAGCGTGTGCAGCTCGGCTAATATCCAATGCAAATCACCTCACCTGGGATCCAGTTTCTTGGGATAAACGTTTTCAGGCAAAATAATTTTTGCGACTTCACCTTCGTAATGGGCTTCCTCTTCATGCATTACATCTCCAAGACTTCTAAAAAGCAAAGTGTTATATTTTGATGACGGTAGAAGGCCCAACAAATGGCCTCGCCTTTCCCTGCTGTACAGAAATGGAGCATGCAGATTGATCATGCTTGAATGAACAGAGTCTCCAACTCAAAAAACCTTTATTTGTCTTGCATAAGTATGCTTCCAAGATACAATCGCAGGATCAATTAAAAACATTTCATTATTCAATCACTTCAAGGCACGACAGAAGCATGTCGTCTGCCACAAAGCCCTGTTCGCGCAGGGTGTCGGCGGTGAAGGAGAAATATCCTTCACATAGTCGTTGCTTGCATAGAGCTCATTAGACTTCAGGGGACGGTTCTTGTTCAGACTAGGCCGAGTTGGGTGGACCAGAACAAGCGTCGTGTCTATAGGCAGCACGGCTGCCTGAGCTCCGGCGATAAACATTAGCTTAAAGGCGATGCACTTCGCCTTGCTCTGGTCGAGGTAGATGGCTTGAGAAAGCTAGACTCAAAAACCCTTAACAAATACATTCCCCTGGGAACACCTCAAGTGATAAAGGTGCCACGCGTCATTGGGATTGGCTGGCGCTCCCATCGCTTTGGCAGAGAAGTTTCTGCATGCAAACACATGCTGGTTCGTGCCGAGGTGGCCGGGGCGAAAGCAGGTAGCCAGCCAGTTTGGAATATATTCGCAGACCGCACGGACGTTGCTCACCCCCTCGGTGCATTTTTCGACTCTCCCGACGAGATCGGACGTCTTGGTCGTCGACTCGTCAATGGCTCTAACGCAGTGTTGCACTGACTCGGCAAGATTCCTCGCCAGATCTACCAGATCGTTCACAGACAGGGAGCACCTCCGAATATTTTCGACAAGGATGTTCACCTTGTTGTCGCCCGCGCATCTCACGGCGTCGGCCGTCAGCGCGTCCACCTCGAGAGCGTGGTTACTCCCGGCCTTGACATCCTGTTCCGGAGCCCCGTTCCACGTCCCGCATTTGGCCCTGTTCCTTTCTTGGAAGTGACATGCTTTCGAATGCTCCAGGGCCTTGTTGCGTAGGATGGGGCCCCGACACGCCTTGCAGCCTGCAGGACACCATGTGAAAGCTGCAGTTCTTCAGAAATTGGTTTTCAGTGTCGGAAAGAGATCCCTAGAAGTCGCAGCTGTGTTGGGCGTTCAACCAGCGAACCGTCAAATCCTTCCTCTGGGCATCTCTGAGGACGAACTGCTTAGTCTCGGTCGGGTTAATGAATGCGCCATCGACAGGACACTTGGGCCCTGCCTCGGGCTGGATGTGCTTGTAACAGTCCAGACAAAAGGCGTGCAGACAGCCCGTGACCAAGGACGTCTGGGACACTAGTCCGCAGAGGTCGCATATCCAGGCGTGCAGAGACCATATTTGGCTATCCAAACTTGTGCTATGCATATTGGAAATCTGCGTAGTCACGTTAGGGCATATTGGCAGTGGTCCTTTTGCAGGAATGAAACTCGGCAAAGCATCTTTGGAGCAGAAAAAACTGCACTTTGGTGCAGGCTGGGAGCAGCAAAAACGAGGTCTTGGAGCAAGTTGGGAGCAGCCTAAGAGTTTCAGAATGCTAAAATAGAGGCCAAGTGTCCCCTGGTACTCAAAACTCAAGGAAATATGGCATGCAGAGAACTTCATGTGAACAGTGGTTTCAATTAACAGTTTATTTGAAACATTTTTTAACCAATTCAACATGAAAATTACACTATAAGAAACTGCGCGACAGTGTGACACGTGATGGAACCGACTTGCAAAGAGGTAGAAATAGCCTTCAGCTCATACCTTGCTCCGTCGTACGCACCTCGCTGCTCACTCGCCTTTCTTATGTTCCCAATTCTTCTGCGCGGGGCCTCGGGGCAGGCAAACGCAGGCTGCAGGCTTGCAATACGCCTTTCCACGAAAGCGTATTAGGGCACGTTCATTGCTGTTGTAGTGCTACACTATTTGTGTTATGCACGCGCTGTTTCTAGCTGGCCGCAACTGCAGCAAGCGCTAGCTGGACTGACTTTGCACGCGTGGACACTGCGTGTGGACTGTGACTTTTGCAAACAGTGGAAGTACAGCCAAGAGGGAGGCGCACCAACCTAAATACATACGAGTTTATCGCAATATGGCGGCGCTGTTTGCTCCACTATTCAGATGAAGTGACTCCAGGAGTTCAGAAAAGCACACAGCAACGGCAGCTATACTTCGTTTCAGCTTATGTTCAGACGCAGCCGATGCTACAAGCACCAGCATGTGGCCTTGAACAGTGCTCGCAGTGCACGAGCACACGTTCTTGGCAGGAATGCTGAAGGCCCGGAGCTCGCGCTTGTAGCATCATCTGCGAGTGGAGTTAGACGAAGCAGGGCAACAGTGAATGGCTTCAAAGAGGTTTGGGGCCCTCAACTCGTCAAACACAAAGTTGGGGCCGAAGTTGACGGAGCGCACCGATTGGAGAGCCACGACAATGACTTCGCGTTTTTGTCGCCGACGTCCAATCAGCGCACTTTGCGAACTTTCGGTTCCAGCTTTGCGTTTGATGAGTATAGGGCCCCTGGTAGCAGAAACATCGCAATGAGGGATGCTGTGACAACTGTTATAAGCTGAAATGAAGTCTAACCATGGCAGCGACAAGTGTGGCAGCAACTTTTGGATACAGAGCTTGGGATACAGATTCGGATCCACTGGCGTTCTTTTTGGGCCGGAAGATCGGATACCAATGTCGTCAAAAGAAACTGCGAAACAGATAATTTCGACGAGGATCGCTTATAATTTCAGTTTGGGCGCACTCTGCCGCAATTTCGTTCTTATTTATATATTTGTATCAGTGTGGCGCATGAAAAAGCAATAGGCGCACAATGGCGCAATTGGCGCAGCAGTTCCATCCCTGCTTTTGGGACAGCTCAAGTAGGCCACTCAAAAGGTGACCTACAGGCAATTTCTAAACACCTCCTCATGCTCTGCCGACAGGCCCTTTAAAGGGATACTCCACCGATTTTTTGAGCTACCTCAACTAACTATATTTTCTGACTCCCCGGCCTTTAGCCTTTCCGGTATGCTATTTAGCATCGCGAAATTCATAATAGGTATTGTAAAATCGGCAAATGAAAATGGTGCAAAAACCAATATTCAAATATTCGCGCACTTTTCAGTGCCGTGACGTCAGTGGCAGGCAGGCTTGCCAGTCGAGCAAGTCGTTTAAAAATTGAATATGCCAATCATTTGTTCCGTGCTGGAGCGCGGATACGGGAGCGAGCTTCCAAAGCACTCATTTGACACCATGAAACTGCTTCAAATCCGTTGGGAACAACTTCTGTAGTCCGAAAAGTTAACCCCTGCCTTCCACTGACGTCACTTTTTCATTGTTGCCAGTAGAGACTTTCAGTTTGAAAAACATGGTGAAGACCAAAACTGTAAATTCAATAACTTCGCGAAAAAACAATATTTTGACCTAATATTTGGGATACTATTTTAGCAATGTTTGTTGGTTAGTTTAGCAAAATTTCAAGCAAATCGGAGACAATGAAAAAAACGGTGGAGTATCCCTTTAAGTCAGATTGTTTTTTTTCTAACAGTTGGGAATGTTCATCTATCCTTTTAACAAAGCAACAAACAATTCCCAACAATTGGTAGTTCCTTCTAATTTTCTGTTATAAAATTATGTCTGCAACACTACAAATTGACATGAAAGAAAGTGCCTCTCATCTGGGAATTTATTTATTGGAAAATGCAGTTATTACAAACAAGGAATGTAGCATTTAGAACAACGAGATGAACAAAGCGCCATAGACAGAAACAAGTTGCAAGAAACGGTGTATTCGGTACCACAAACATGGAATTCGTTTAAACAAAAAGGAGCACCAATTGGCACTAGTGCAAAGGATATACAGAAATGAATTTTAAAATAAAATCATAAACGTGCTGTATTTTGCCGCACTCGGAGACGAACCACGATTGACACATAAAGCCATTTCAGCCGATCAGGCGTTGAGAGCAAGTCACATGACATTCACGTTGGCCCTTGGGTTCAGTGATGAACGGAGTAAGAAAGCATGTGACACACTCAAAGTGCTGAGCTGGACGGGGTGGTTGTAGCATTTATTGCAACCCGGCTTGGGGTCACTCACACAAATCTGAACAATAAATATTACACATTTCCTAAAAAAAAACTGCAACACAAGGCAAAAGCAATGTTATAAATAAAGAAAACATTACAGTACTTCTCCCGATAACACAATATGATAATGGACCCCCAGAGTTAGTTTTCGTAGGTGTCCGCAATAAATATTTTAGTATCAAGCCGGTGATAAAACCAGCAGCATATTTCAAGTGTGAAGTGAGAACCTGTCAACGAATGTTTACATTCTAGCCATGAGCAAACCAATACTATATGCGAGAGAAACAAGTTGTTGTCCAAAAAGAGAAAAACGAGGCCTGTCAACAAGAGAAGTACATCAGTTTCTCCCTGGCTTCTTGGTGACAAGCCATTTGGAATTAGACAAATGAATACAGTATATCAAGAAACACAAAACAAGAAAATGAAAGTACTGTAGCAAGATAAGGATGAACTTAATACAAAAACAGAGGAGTGCAATTCAACTGGTCCCACCTTTCTGTGTGGTCATACATTTAAAACCAGCTGAAGAAGTAAATTTCATTCAGCCGTTTCAAGGCAAACAAGGAGCATGTCATCTGCTACAAAACCATCCCTGCAGAGGACGTCAGCAAAAAATGCAAACCCGTCGACTTGAGACTGGCTTTTAAAAATCTCGTCAATTTTCAGCGGTCGGCATTTGTTCAAACTAGCATCTGTTGGGTGAACCAGAACAAGCATCATGTCCATGTCTGGTCCGCAGTTTTGGGATTCTCCGAGAAATGTTAGGTTAAAGCTGATAACATTCCTTTCAGATGGATCTTTGTAGACTAACAGACAAATCTTAACTCCTCTACCTTTAATTGAAGCATTTCCTCTAGGACACCGAACAGGGTATACATGAGAAGATTTTTTCACTGCAGGTGCTCCCGCAACCTTGGCAGCAATGTTGGTGCAGGTAAAGACATACTTCTGTGGACACAAGCCCCCAGGAAGAAAACCCAATGCCAGCCAACATTTTGGAATCTTCCCACAACTTCTACAAAGGGCAGTCTCTCCTAGCTTAGAAATATCTACAAGTGCCTTAGTGGTGGTGGCTAACAATTTTTTAAGTTCCATCACATCCAGAATGTATTGCTGCATTGGCTCAGCAAGACTAGATGTAACATTCTTGGAATCATCTGCAGATTTCATGCAATACTGAGTTGCCTCCATGAGATTCTTTGCCAGTTCTGCAGTACACTGCTTCATCGACTCAATCAGTACATTTGAGTTGTCTTCAACTGTACTTTTCACAAGATCCGCTATAATCTCTATGGACTTGCAGTCACGGTCATCATTAGAATCAGAAATTTGCCCTGGAACAGGCTTCTGGATCAGGTGTAGTGTCACATCTTCGAATTGAGCTCTACAGTCTTTTTCCAGGTGCTCCAAGAGCTCAGTGCGAAAAGAAGTGCTTCCACACCTCTTGCAAGTCACTACATGGAAGTTGCAGTCCTTGGTGTAGTGGGCTTCCAAATCTCCGAAAAGACCTTCAAACTTACAGCCATGCTCTGCATTCAGACATTGGACCAGCAACAGCTTTCTCTGGTTGTCTCCAAGGGCAAACTTCTTGGTGTCATCTGTATTGACATCTAACATGTCCATGGGACACTTGGGGCTCTTTTTACTAAGGAGACGTTGGTAGCAGTCAGAGCAGAAGACATGAAGGCATTCCGGAACCACAGTTGTCTGTGACATTAACCCACAGACGTCGCACGTCCACGCTCGAGGTAGAGGCTTCAGGAATCTAAGTGGCCTCCAGTCCAGGAAGCCTGAAAAACCCGTTAATGTTGCTTCCACCATGTTTCTGCTCCTGTGGTCCTTCTTGATGATGCCTTGGAAAGGACTGCCCAAAAGATGTCAATGATGGAACCTTAAAAAAAAGTCATCATTATTTTTATTACAGTCCTAATGCAGTCAAGACAAACTATAGTCAGCATTACCAGTGGCACCCCATATCACACAAAGGCATGCTTGTACAATAAAAGTACTCTTATCATCTTTACATTGGTGACTTACATTAAAGCCCCGAGAGGAAAATGGCATCAATTTCTTCATCCAATTTACATCCGCTAACTTACATCTGCAACCGTATCGTACTTTCAGGCTTAGTCACAGCGAACATGCAAACTAATTTATTTTTTATGTTTATACTTGTATTCCTCTCTTGGTACAGGTGTTCTTAGCACATCCCAGGCACATATCTTTGTCTATTTACATTTCCTAACACGGTACGAAGATATTAATGCCAAGATCAAAGCAAACGTGTTATCAATGACACCATATAAGTACCGTAAAATAGCGAGCATCCACCTATCCCACCCCAACAAACCACGGATATCCGTCGGACGTCCGTGGAAGGTGCGAAAATCCTGTGCCTGAAGCGGACGTCCGTAGAACATACACCGGACATACGTTTCTGTATATCCAAGTCGGAGATGTGCTGGATGTCGTAGGGATGTCGAAATCAGATTTTCAACGGATGTCTGCCAAACTTCCATTTATAGACGCACGCAGGACATCCATTTCTGTACATCCAAATCGGAGATGTACCGGATGTCCTAGGGATGTCCACATCAGACTTTCAACGGATATCCGCAGAATTTCCGTCCATGGAGGTCCACTGGACATCCATTTCTGTACATCCAAATCAGAGATGTACCGGATGTCCTAGGGATGTCCACATCAGACTTTCAACGGATATCCGCAGAACTTCCACCCGTGGAGGTCCACAGGACATCCATTTCTCTACAGCCAGATCAGAGATGTACCGGATGTGCTAGGGATGTCCACATAAGACTTTCAACGGATATCCGCAGAACTTCCATCCGTGGAGGTCCATAGGACATCCATTTCTGTACATCCAAATCATAGATGTACTGGACGTCCAAGGGATGTCCACATCTGACTTTCAGCAGATATCCGCTGAACTTCCATTCATAGGTGTACACAGGACATCCATTTCTGTACATCCAAATCGGAGATGTACCGGATGTCCTAGGGATGTCCACATCAGAACTTTCAACGGATATCCGCAGAATTTCCGTCCATGGAGGTCCACTGGACATCCATTTTTGTACATCCAAATCAGAGATGTACCGGATGTCCTAGGGATGTCCACATCAGACTTTCAACGGATATCCGCAGAACTTCCACCCGTGGAGGTCCACAGGACATCCATTTCTCTACAGCCAGATCAGAGATGTACCGGATGTGCTAGGGATGTCCACATAAGACTTTCAACGGATATCCGCAGAACTTCCATCCGTGGAGGTCCATAGGACATCCATTTCTGTACATCCAAATCATAGATGTACTGGACGTCCAAGGGATGTCCACATCTGACTTTCAGCAGATATCCGCTGAACTTCCATTCATAGGTGTACACAGGACATCCATTTCTGTACATCCAAATAGGAGATGTACTAGATGTCCTAGGGATGTCCACATCAGAGTTCCAACAGATGTGCAAAAAACATACATAAATGGCGGGTTATATATAGCCTCAATTGCTTGGGGACAAACTTTAACAAATCACTTTTATCTAGAGACGTCTGAACCATGCATGGTTCTGTATTTCTGAAAGCATATATTTTACAAGACGTTTTAGAATTATAACTTTATGGGCATTTAGAAAATATTAATTTGTTTAAAGACTGTATTCAAGATATAGTTTATACAAAGTACTGCTCCAGTTACTCGTTTTTGTAATTTGCAATACCGAAGCGGTTCTAACAAAGATAAAAAAATAAAATCCAAGGTAGTAGGGTACTTTCGTGCGTAAACAGACCACTCTCTGCTTGCCTGCGAGGGAACATTAACCACCAGCGGGTATTTTTTCAGATTAAAATTATTAGTCACATTCTTCGAAAGATTGTGAAAGTGAGTTTATTCAATGCATGTTCACTCATTGCTGGAACTAGTCAAAACCTTTGAATGAGCAGTTTCTATCAAAGCGCGGAAGTAGTTTTAAAGTCGCTACCCAATTGATTATTCGGATGTCTTCGCGGTACTGTCATCCATTTAAACGACGTTCAGCTAGCAACTACTTGACAGTATGTCCTACGAAAGAGAGAAGCTGGGTTGAGGATATAACTGCATTTGGGGGAGCGCAATTTTTATTTGTGACATAAAGATTAAGGGCAGAAATCAGAAACTTTGCGGAATGAAAAATGTCACTGCCACAAGGTTTAGGTAAGCCACCCCAATTTTATTTTATTCTCTTCATAATAAGTTTTCTATCTTACTTGTCAACCATACCTTCATCACACTTAGGAATGCAAAAAAAAAAAGAAGAAACAGTGCTGTCAGTGATTGTGATACAGCTCCAGAAGCTGCATCAGTTGCGCGAAAGCTCGTTCAGCATTCAACTTCCCAAAATATGTGCACATCTATGGCACTTTCACAGAGTGCTTTTGCTAAAGAGACAAGGAGACAAAAGAAACTGCATTTTTATTGAAATATTTATATAAATCTTCCAATAAAAAAGGCATTTCACATGAGCATGTTCTGGCTCGCAGCAGTCGCAAGTCCATGCTAACACGGCTGTAGTTTTTTTGTAAACAATGCCCTACCCATAAATATTTGTACAGGGTTTGCGTAAATGTGGAACCTGTTCACGAATAGGTGTCCGTTTGTGTAAACCCATGCAAACAGTTGCATCAGAATATGCGTATGGGTCAACCATTTACATTAGTAAACTTGTATAAGCATGTCACAGTGAGTGCCCTCGCGGGGCCGCAAAGTGCAGCCACATGGCACTTTATGCGGCTCTTTATGCGGCTCTAAATGGACTGTCCAAGACGGACCTTCCACAGCATTGGCTGCGATGCCCTAAGAGCAGCATGCCGCGGCAGGTCGCTCACTCAGGTAAGAAGTAAACACCATGTTCATCGCTATGTTAAAACGTTTAGTTGCACGAGTTTCGTGAATGCTACCTCGCATTTAATGAGTTGTTCAAAGATAATCAGCTAAAGACACATGAGAGCCGATGTAGTGACTGTAAATAAACAGATGCGGCTGTGCGATCGGTACCGGTCGTGAGCACATCATAGCCCAAAAGTGCTCGATCGCTGCTTGTTGTCACAACTTTCTTGCTCGACTAAAAGGCTGTTGTCAGTTAGTGTATTATGGTATGTATGTGTGGCGTAAACCCAAGTGGCAAAAGTTTGAAAACCTGTGCTAATCTGCGGAAGAGAATCCGAGCAAGATCGATCGAGCTACCCGAGCGGCGTCGAACGTATCGCGGAAGTTGTGTCGTCGACTCCCTGACACCTAGAAGTAATTATTGTTATAATGCAATAAAATGCAAAGGTGCAAGCAAGCTGGACAAGAATGACGAAAATAATCCCTGGAGAAGGGGAACAAGAGGGACAAAGGACAAACACAAATTTTTTTCGAAGGCAGTGTCCTCGCCAGTGAAAAAGCGGTGAATCCCCGACAGACGCAAGAAAGGTAGACAAAAACAGCGTACCGCTTGAGTTCTTTCGTCTGCCCTCGCTGAAAGGCGAAGTCGAACTCGCAGCCCAGATTCACAAAACGATCTTACGCCAAAAATGTGCGTAAGACAAAACTTAAGAACAAATCCGTATTCACGAAACGAAATTTTCGTAAGTTTTGCGCAGGTTACGACGAAATCCTACGACAGCTCCGAAGCTGTCTTACGCACTTCTTACGATCAAATCAGCATGGCCGACAGCGTCGCTCAGTTGGTCGCGACAACCAACGGATGTTTATTTTTCTACGTGCGCTTCTCAAGCGTCCCGACTTCAAGCAGCAAGAAACAAGTAAAAAGTACTTGAAACAGACCACGACGAACGAACAAGAACGCTGGATCCACAGACAGCCGGGAAAAACTCCAAGGGTTACGAGTACGGACTCCGACCGATCGGCAGATAGGCCTAGCAGGCACTCCCACTCGGCGCAGCGATGATCTGACGGTCCTTGGCGAAGACCGTCTGCCCACGACCGGCTGGCGTGCTGAATGGAATATGCCCCCGCGACCCTTGTGAACCCTTCCCGTATATAGTTTGATCGCTGACCTCAATTCTAGATTAAGAGGTCAATCTCTTCCTCTTGTCATCTCCTTGTTTTCCGAGGCAACGGTGACGAACGCTGTCGTCGAAAAGGGGCTCTCATCGATTCTATCTCTGTTTTGTGTGATATCAAGCTCAAATAAACGCCGTATGGATTACCTTCGCAACATGGTATGTACACTTTGTTATTAGTATTCCATTTTATTCTGACACGACTGCACCTCACAGTCGATCGCTGTAACAGTTCGTGGGTCGCAATGCTGGTCCAACCTTTCTTCGCCGGGTGTCACGTCAGCATCGAGTTGCAATTGTAAAGGATCGGTCCCGAAGCGCTTATCAATTCGCGGTCCAACAGCGCAAATCCAGCACTTCGATCAAACGCGCGCGTCCGTTCCGTAGTGTAAACAGGCATTTACGTGGCTCTTGCTTACACTGTCATAGTTCAAACGTATCTTTTTTAACGTCGGCTCGCTCCTGCATCTCCGAGGCCGCAAAAAACGCCGCGGCAATTTGTTCCCATCTACGTCGCTCTGCAAACGACTGCGGGCCGTCTTTTACCAACGATGACAGTTGTGTTGACTTGGTAGCTATCGAGTTCGTAGCAGTCAATGGGGATGGTTACGCATCCCGGCCTTGGCATTCCGGCGGGTTTAAATCGTGTTAGCGTCGACATATCACTGCACGGATACGAACCCCAGACCAGCAGGGCAGAAAGGCCGCCTGTGTTTGTTATGAAAAATCCACGTGCTCCGATAGGCTCCGAACAAATGCCGAGCTCTCCGATTGGTTGTTCGTGCTGCCGAAGACGCCGTCGCCATAGCAACAGCACCGGTAAGTTTTAGTTTGTCCGTACGACAACGTCGCTTTCCTCCTTTCACTTAAGAACGCGTTCGTGAATACCGATTTCTCCTCTTCTTACGATGTTCTTAACTTACGAACTTCTTAGCTAAGTTGTCGTAAACTAAGAAGCTCTTCGTGAATCTGGCCTCACTTCCGAAAGTCGCAGAAAAGGTAAGACAGACGCAGACGACGTTGCAAAGGAGCAGACGACGCTCAGATAGGGGGTCGCGATCAGCCAATCATGGGCTCGGCGTTCTGACGTCATCGCTACCCCTTGTGCAAGAAGCAGACGAACTTGCCCTCCGAATTGGTGCACACTGGCACAGGTAGACCACGAAAATGGATCGACGAAGATGTTTGAATTGTAATAATATGTCCAATGGCGACTGGTGGGATTTTTGTTTGTTTGTGTGCCCTTGTTTTGTATTAGATCTAGTTATTTTTTTTGTCAAATAACAATTGTTATGGAGTAGCCGACACTGTTATTAACAGTGCCAACATCCTCATTATTTTTATTCGTTTATTAATACAGAAAATGGAAACGTGTTGAAATTCCAAGAGTACTCTAAGAAGGATGACATGCAAATTGTCAAACTATATGTTTAAACGATACGGGTTGAAATGCCACGTATACGTGTTTTGAGACGGAGTTTAATCAAACAATAAGGATTTAAATGAGATCAGGTTCAACCGAGAAGGGCATAAATAAGAAAAGGCTAAAGCGCAGAGAGCGTTAGACGACTGGTTTGAAATATGGTGTTCAAATGAGAACAGGTTCAAATGAGACGGGCCCAAATGAGATAGGGTTGAAACGCGAAAGGTTAAAACACAAAGGGCATTTTGCGAATGGGTTCAAACGAGAAGGGTTCATATCAGAATGGGTTGTTTCGAGATACACCCGTCCAAACACAGTCATAAAAAAAAAAAGTTTTCACAGTGAGTTTTAGGTGTTGGGGGTGATGCATAGTTTATTTATGTGGACAAGGTTTTGCTTTCTAGCTTGGACACTACTTCTGACATTCTCAGTGGCATACTGTTATTACAACCAGGGACCCCAGAACCGGGAGGGGGGGGGGGGGGGGGGAGGGGGGGGGGCAACGGAGGCTTGAGCACCCGCTGACATTTTCCAGGGGGTGCTGGGTAATATGCTGAGCCCCATTGAGTTTAGAAGGCCTATTAAAGAATGCCTGCACCCCTCACCACCACCACCCCTCCTCAACTCTCCTTTCTGATTCCCACGAAATTCCAGAAAAAAATTCACGAAGTAAAATGTCAGTAAACTGCGAGCGACGCGGCAGAGCCAAGAAAATGGGAAGAAAAAAAAAAAAAGCCGGTGCCTGGGGCCCACATAGCAGTCAGGGAGATCTCTCTTCGCCTGCTTGGTCATTTTCGCTGGGGCCTTCCCATACTGCACTCGCTTGTTGGCCATGCGAGGAAACACGCAGCGCGCTGTTTCTGTCCTCCCAGCCAGCCGGCTTCTTCGTTTTGCTTCTATTTTGAGCAGTGACGCTAACTGATGTTTCGGTTTTACAATCAAAGTATCTTTGTTTGCTGGGCCAAGCATTATAAAAGGGGCAGCGGTCCGAATGTCTCATCTCGACAAAGTTTCTGTCGCTGTGCTATCTGCACGCTATCGTTTTTCAGGCGAGATGCATGAACAATCTTTTCCGGAACGCTAATTGCTGCCTTGGCTTTCAAATCAAATTGTTTTTACCTGCTGAATTAAGCACTAATCAACTGAAAAGGGGCAGCAGTCCGGCTACACCTTTCGTCTTGACAACAGCCCAGCCATCTTGATTTTGGATGTGACGTGATGTGACGTCACGGAGTGCGAAAAAGTCACTCGCTCTCCGAAAAATACTTGGTGCACAAAGAGGGTGCTCGAGTGTCAGTCTCCGGCGACACTCCTCTTCGTTCAGTGAAGGGAGCACCAAACTCTCGCGCTCTGGTGCAAGGAATTAATGTACCCAATGTTGACCACCGAAGAACGACCGCGTCCACCAGTGGTAAACATTTTCTGAAATTTTAAAGAGTGCAGTGTTCTAACTTTTCACAGGAAGGGAGCTGCGCCGAGAACTTTCACAGGAATGCATCCACGATTGAAATACACCTTCGTTAAAAATGTAAGCTTTCTACGTGCAGGCGCCCGATTTTCTAGTGCATTTTACATCGACACCGTAGATCGATGCCAGCGTATAGCTACTATTGGATCAGATTGTGTCAACATCTCATTGCCTCGTGACAGGAATTTTGGATGAATGTATAGGCACACGCTATAGGTAGTGATAATACACCTTCTATAAAACAGTAAAATCTTTGTATTTTTTTTTTTTTACTTTAATTTCTTCACCCCCACGTATTATTTCGACTGCTAGCCCCAGCCCAGCCCAGCCCCGCCCCCCTCCCCCCCCCCTCCCCCTCCCTACCCCCACGTAAAGTACACTTCCGGGGTCGCCGATTACAACCCCAACGAACATTAATTTTTACGTATCGAAACAATGTTCAAATTTCGTTGGTGTCCCAGCGCCATCCCAAGGAGAGGTGGCCGCAAGGCAGGAAAACTCACAATCCGGTAAAATCTGAAAAACGAGAGTTGTATCGTCTTGTGTGTCCCTCTCGCTTCCGTTATCACCAACACGCTAAACTACCCACACAACCCAGTAAAATGTCCCAGGTCTGTGGCGTGTTGCATCTAAGCAAGGCACGCGTAAGTTCACACTTGCAGTGGCCGGCGCCGTCGGGCTCGGGAGCCAACAAAGCACGCCATTTTGCGCGCCCCGAAAAGCGCGGTCGGTTTGGACTCCTTCGAATGGTACCAAGCAATCGACAAGGTTCTGCAACACTTTGAACTTGACAGCTTACCTCTGACAGGGGCCGGGATCCAGCACCCTTCCAAGTGATAAATCACGAAAGCTGCACTGAACGCGACAAGTGCAGCGATCCAAAAGCTCGAACGGCTCGAACAAACTGAAATAAGAACAACCTGAGGACCTGAGAACTGCTTGCCGGCTTGCCCGCTGAAAGTTGAAAGTAGACCTGGTAGACCTGTGCGCCGCCGCGCCGCGCCGCGCCGCCGCTCAGCGCGACTCGCCGCCGCACAAGCAGACGTGCGTCCGCGAACGGCGGGACTGGCGAGAGGGGGCATCCAGGGTCGTCGTGGGCCCAGGCAGCCAGTTGGTCCGCCCTCTCGTTGCCGGACGTCCCGCAGTGTGACGGTAGCCACTGGAAGGCGATGGTCCAGCCCTTGACCTGAAGCTCGCCCACGCGCGCCACCACCTCCCTGGCCAGCTGTGGTGAACGGTCCGGGGAGCGGAGGAGGCCCAGCGCCGCCCTCGAGTCCGCCAGTACGACGACCCGAGCCGGCTCGTTCTCGTCGAGGAGTCGCAGGCCAAGCTGCAGCGCCGCGAGTTCTGCCGTGGTCGATGAGGCATGGAACGTCAGGCGCTCCGCAGCGGTCCTCCCTGTGTCCTCGCGGAACGCCGCTGCTGTCGCCGTCCTGGTGGAGTCACGCACCGAGCCATCAGTGTAGAGGCGTGCCCAGCCGTGGTAGCGCTCGTCACAGTGATGTTCTGTGAGCTGGCGTGCCACTGTTGGCTGGACGTTCTTCTTGGC